TTGCTGTGAAACTGATGGTAGTGGTGATAGTGGTAGTGATGGTTGCTGTGACACTGATGGTAGTGGTGATAGTGGTAGTGATGGTTGCTGTGACACTGATGGTAGTGGTGATAGTGGTAGTGATGGTTACTGTGACACTGATGGTAGTGGTGATAGTGGTAGTGATGGTTGCTGTGACACTGATGGTAGTGGTGATAGTGGTAGTGATGGTTGCTGTGACACTGATGGTAGTAGTGACAAGTGATCGCGGGCCCTTCATGCCCAGTTCGCCGTCCGGCTGACAGCTTACAGCAAGTGAGGGTGCGCCAAGTCCGTAGAATTGCATCGTTTTCCAGCGTAAATAAATGGTTAATTAATGCCTTCCTAAAGAAACCATCGACATTGGACCAGGTTTGTACCACTCTACGAATTTTTTGCGATTTTTCCACCAAGTTTGATGAAAAACGATTGTGCTGTTTCGGCTGCCCAGAACTGACACACACACAGACACACGGTTATTCCTATAGTATATTAGATAGTGGTAGGAATGGTTGCTGTGACACTGATGGTAGTGATAGGGATGATTGCTGTGACATTAATGGTAGTGATGGTTACTGTGACACTGATGGTAGTAGTGATAGTGGTAGGAATGGTTGCTGTGACATTGATGGTAGTGATAGGGATGATTGCTGTGACATTAATGGAAGTGATGGTTACTGTGACACTGATGGTAGTAGTGATAGTGGTAGGGATGGTTGCTGTGACATTGATGGGAGTGGTGATATTGGTAGGGATGGTTGCTGTAACACTGATGGTAGTGGTGATAGTGGTAGGTTGGTGTGAGACTGATGGTAGTGGTGATAGTGGTAGGGATTGTTGCTGTAACACTGATGGTAGTGGTGATAGTGGTAGTGATGGCTGCTGTTGTACTGATGGTAGTGGTGACAGTGGTAGTGATGGCTGCTGTAACACTGATGGTAGTGGTGACAGTGGTAGTGATGGCTGCTGTAACACTGATGGTAGTGGTGACAGTGGTAGTGATGGCTGCTGTTGTACTGATGGTAGTGGTGATGGTGATAATGATAAGTGATGGTGATATTCAAGTGATGGGAGCGGGTATGTGAATAGTGGTAATGGCGAAACTGAAAGGCTGGCTAACTGACAGACTGGTTGGCTGGCTGGTTAACTGTCAAACTGGCTAACTGACAGAATGAGTGGCTGGCTGGTTAACTGACAGACTGGCTAACTGACAGACTGGGTGGTTGGCTAACTGACAGATTGGGTGACTGGCTAACTGACTGACTGTTGGAGTTCCCCAAGGCTCAGTACTTGGACCATTATTATTTATTATATACATAAACGACATAGATATCGGCGTAGACAGCAACTTAAGTAAATTTGCTGATGACACTACATAGGGCGTGTAATTAAATCTGACGAGGACTCCGCAAAACTACAGGAAGATCTAAGAAAATTTTTCGAATGGTCTGAAAAATGGCAGATGAAATTCAAAGTGGACAAATGTAAATACTCAGTACAGGAAATGTAAACAGAGAAACCAGATACCAGATGAACAACGATGTTATTGAGAAAGCCGACTGCGAGAAGGACTTAGGAGTAATGATAAGTAGGAATCTTAAGCCAAGTAAACAATGTGTATGTGCTCGAAACAAGACTAATAAAGTACTTGGGTTCATACAAAGGAGTGTTAGTTACAAGACTAGCGAGGTCATCCTAAAACTATATCTTGCGCTTGTAAGACCTCACTTGGATTACGCAGTTCAATTCTGGTCACCGTATTACAGAATGGATATAGAATCCTTGGAAAGAATTCAGAGGAGAATGACAAGACTAATCCCGGGCATTGGAACCTTGAGTACAGAGACAGGTTAAAGCATCTTAATCTGCACTCCCTCGAGAGACGTAGAGTGAGGGGCCATATGATAGAGGTGTATAAATGGAAGTCAGGGCTGAACAAAGGGGACATTACAAAGGTACTCAAACTATCCAACCAGGAGCGAACTCGTTACAATGGTTTTAAATTATACAAATTTAGATTTAGGCGCGAAATAGGTAAACTTTGGTTTGGAAATAGAGTAGTGGACGAATGGAACAAGTTACCAAATATCATCATTAACTCGAATACGCTGGAAAGCTTCAAACATAGGTTGGATGGATATATGAGCAATAGGGGTTGGGTGTAAATGGGACTGCCCAGTATGGGCCAATAGGCCCGCTGCAGTTTCCTCCATTCTTATGTTTTTATGTTTGAGTGAGTGAGTGACTGACTGACTGGGTGGCTGGTTAACTGACAGATTGGGTGGCTGGCTGACTGAGACCGCCCAACTGACAAGAGTGGCTAATGAATGACTGGCTAACTGACAAGAGTGGCTAACTGACAAATTGGCTAACTGACAGACTGGTTAAATGACTGGCTAGTTCTCTGGCCGGTTGGCTGACTGGCTGGCTGGCTAGCGTCTCATTACTTGTTTTGGTATCCATGGATACGAGCTGGTAGATAGCCTACCCCACACCACGCACACCACCACCGCCAACAACGCCATCAACAACTACAACAACAGCAAAAACAAAAACACCACCACCACTACTATGAGCAGTAACAGCACCATTTACTATCACCATCACTAAACAGCAACAACACGACCACCACTCACTAGCCCTCACCTCTCTGCCTCCACGGTACCACAACACCTGCCAGCTACCATACTTGACACTATACCACATTTGCCTGCTACAACACCTTCACTATTACACGTGCTCTCTCTCTCTCTCTCTCTCTCTCTCTCTCTCTCTCTCTCTCTCTCTCTCTCTCTCTCTCTCTCTCTCTCTCTCTCTCTCTCACACCATAGATAAGAGTACTGCCTGTGGTACAAACACCTCTCTCCCCAGGCGTTTACTTGCTAACCTCATTCCTTGTGGACAGAATCCCACCAGACACTCTTCCACTGGACAGAATGCCACTTCACAACCACGGTTACAGAGAGGAGAAATTTCCTCCAGCTCAGGTATTTTTTATGTCTAATTCCCTGTTAAAGTAAACTAGGTTATGTTAAGGTAACGTAGGGTAGATTAGGCTAAGCTTGGTTTGGTTTTGGTAGGTTAAAGTATACAATATATATCTTATTTTCATTAATTTCGCTCCAGTAAATTATATTAATCAAGAAAGAGTGAATATTATTGTTCCGGGGAAGTGATGTATTTGTTGAAAATTATTTTCGACATGAAAAATAATAACAGAGAAAGACGTTAAAGAGAACAACCAACATGGACCAGTTGTGACATCGACTGTAATGATACAACAACAGCAAAAACGAGATAACAAACAACGACAACATTTATAGTGACAGTGACGCCAGTAGTTACAACAATGAGTAAAAAAAAAAAGCTACAACAAAAACAACTGTCACATAAATAACAGCTTGGGCCACAACAAAAGGGGGAGGAGTAGGGAGAAAAGAAGCGTAAGACAACAGCTGCAACACTTCAAACTGTTGATAAGGAATGTATCGTTGGTGACACTCGTCCCGGGAGGCGGGAACTGATTCATCACAGTTTACCACCACACTAAGAGCAAAACTGTTTTTAAAGATGTAAAGTACTGTAGGTTTTGTTTTTGTTCACTCGCCCTTTCCATAGATGACTGTGTAATAGTGTTTGGCTCGTTGGTGTGGTGGCTGAGGGTCGTGTCTGTCGTGTAATGACGTGGACGTTATGAAGGGTTTAATGTGATTCCTTGTTTACTTGTATGATACGAAGGAGACAAAACATTTAGATTTGAAAACTAACAAAATTTCGCCGCTGTAACTGATATTTAGGGATAACTTAACTTCCCTTTATATTTGATCAGACAAAACCACATCGATAGTATCGGAGGTATTTGATTTATATATAATTGCTTTAAATTATTGATTTAAATCATGACTTAAATCAAGATTTTTAAATCAATTATTTAATTCACGTTTTACTTTTATGTGCTAAATGTGTAAAATAAAGCAAAAATTTAAACAATTGCTTACGTATATGCTGTGTTGATATAAACTGATCAGCCAAAGAAACAGATTACATTATCTTATGCCTTCACAGTAACCTACATAATTAAACACAAGGAACCCTTTCTTTTGTAATGTTCACTATGCAATGTTCTCACAACAGAAAATACAATATTTATTTTGTAACTGAAGCAACCAACACAAGTTTAAGATCGTAACACCACTTTGCTTACCTGACATGTATTATTGTACTGTACTTTTATTTTAAACAAGTAGAGGTTGTAGTTAAGTATTAAAGGCACTGATAACTTGTTTTAGGCTTACCTCGGAGTTGCAAATAGAAAAACAAAGCAAAACCAACTAAATCACAACACTTTCGGATACATGACATTAAATATTTATAAAAATCTAATTCTTGCATTTCTTAGTACTTGCTTCATCACGCATTGCAAACAGCAAATTCTGATTTGCTTAAGCATCTTCGTAAACATGACCAGTGTCTGCATTAAAAGACCTAAAAAGAAAGACAAGTTTTGCTGTTTTTCCTGTACCAAGGGGGTTCCTTAGTTTTCAATGAACAAGTCCATGGGACGAGAAGACTGGGAACAGTTGTCGGTCAACAAGGAATAAAATCTGATTCATTTTTTGACAAATTTGATTGAAAACCAAAAAATCTGATTTAAATCAATAAACCCGGTTTTTTAAATAAATATCAACAGCCCTAGACGAGTGGAATTCCATTAATCTACATATGAAATTAAAAATGTAACTCGTATATATTCATGTATCAGTTATATAAATTGTTTATTTTCAGGTGAGTTAAAGTGTGTTTACGTACTCCTATACTGTATTTGTAATCGATACAATACGTTCTTAGCGTTATGTATTTAAGGTGAATTAGGTAGTGTTGACATGTGAAGTTGTGATTCATACCGCATCAGTGTTATGTATGTCAGGTGAATTAGGTAGTGTTTACCCGAAGTGATGTGTGACGAGGTGTTTGTCTTTCAGATCCGACGCATCAAGGCGGCGGAGGGGGCGGGGGAAGGCGCGGTGCAGCAGGGTGAGGTGTCGTCCTCCAAGCCCACGCTCCTACCCACCCAGCGGCTAGGCCCTTTACTTCTCGAGGTAAACCTTCATCCTACCTACACTGTAATATATACCCCTCCCCTCCATCCCTTCGTCTCTGTAACACACCTCAATCTCCCTCCCTACTTAATCACTACACACACCTTTCTTCCATCCCTTTTCCATTACTGCAACATCTTTGCTTTCATCTTGCACTAAATACATCGCACCATTTTTTTGTTTACCCAAATCCCTACACCACATCATATAAAGCGTGTTGTATCTTCAGTCGGACCCATGTTTCTTACCCATGGTCAGTACCACCTTAAATCCGACTCATATTCACTCTGTATTTCACTCTCATCACCTTTTAGCCGGGCTTCATTGTTTACATCTGACCCATACTCTACATTTGGCTCACAATGTTTTGAAATTGGCCCTCGTATGCTTGCGTCTTTCTTATACTGTACCACCATAAACGTATTCCACACTTCTTCACATCCTGCCCGCTGACACAGTCCTACACCATCTCACACGGTGGCACACCATACCCACACGGTTCCACATCACCCCACACGGTCGTACAACACCCCACACGGTCCGACACCACACCATATGATCCCATACCAATCCACACGGTCGTACACCATCCCACACGGTCGTACACCATCCCACACGGTCGTACACCATCCCACACGGTCCCACACCACATCAAACGACCCCACATCGCCCCACACGGTCCCATACCGCCTCACACGGTCCCATACCACCCCACACGGTCCCATACCACCCCACACTGTCCCACACGGTCCCACACCACACGTTTCCACACCACTCCATATGATCACATACAAAACCCACACGGTCGCACACCATCCCACACGGCCCCTCACCACCCCATACGGGCCCACTCCACGCCATACGGGCCCACTCCACCCCACATGGTCCCACACCACCACACGCCGTCCCTCACAGCCCACACCACCCCACACTACCCACATGGTCCCACACCACCCCACACGGTCCCACACCACCCCACATGGACCCACACCATCTCACACTGTCCCACATCACCCCACACCACCCTACATTGTCCCACACCACCCTACATTGTCCCACACCACCCTACATGGTCCCACACCACCTCACGCTGTCCCACAGTCCCACATTATCCACGTGATCACACACCGTCCCACACCACCCCACCTCACACGATGTTATTTACTTTTACGATGTTATTTACTTAGACTTTAGCAAAGCATTTGACAGAGTACCGCATCAGAGGCTTCTGAGAAAAATTAAGGCTCATGGTATCGAGGGGAAAGTTTTAAATTGGACAAAATCATGGCTCACCGATAGAACGCAGAGGGTCAGCGTAGATGGTGTTAAGTCTGAGTGGGGCCGTGTAACCAGTGGGGTTCCCCAGGGGTCAGTACTAGGCCCACTCTTGTTCATAATCTACATAAACGATCTAGATACTGGGATCAGCAGTGACATAAGCAAGTTTGCGGATGACACCAAAATAGGGCGGCAAATTAATTCAGGGCAGGATGCAAATGCATTGCAGGAGGATCTAAATAAACTGCAGGGGTGGTCTGAAAAATGGCAAATGAAATTCAACACCAGCAAGTGCAGCGTACTTAATATTGGAAGAACAAATACTTATAATGTATACAGCCTTAACAACATCAACCTAGAGAAGTCGACTTGTGAAAGAGACCTTGGGGTACTTGTAAGCACGGACCTACGGCCTAGAAAACAGTGCGTTAATGTTCGAAATAAGGCAAACAGAGTATTGGATTTTATATCTAGAAGTGTAAGTAACAAGAGTGCAGAGGTCTTATTGCAACTATATCTTGCGCTAGTCAGGCCGCACCTCGATTATGCGGTTCAGTTCTGGTTCCCCTATTATAGAATGGATATAAATTCATTAGAGTCGGTGCAGCGAAGAATGACAAAAATGATTCCGGGACTTAGAAACCTTCCATATCAGGATAGGTTAAAGAAACTTAACTTGCATTCCCTAGAAAGACGAAGAGTGCGGGGAGATATGATAGAAGTATTTAAGTGGGTGAAAGGAATCAATAAAGGGGATATAGATAAATTTCTTATAATATCCGATCAGGATAGGACTCGGAGCAACGGATTCAAGTTGGATAAGTTTAGGTTTAGGAGGGAGATAGGAAGAAACTGGTTCACAAATAGGGTGTTGGACGAGTGGAACAAGCTTAGCAACTTTGTAGTAAGTGCTGGAACTCTGGAAAGTTTCAAAAGGAGGCTAGATACATTCATGGATGATAGAGAGTGGTAGTAACTCTCGACAGGAGCTGCCATGCACAGGCCAACCGGCCTATTGCAGACTCCTTATTTTCTTATTTTCTTATGTTCTTATCCACATGGTCCCACACCACCCCACACTATCCATATGGTTCCACACTATCCACATGGTCCCACACTTCCCCAGACGGTTCCACAGCACCCCACACGGTCCCAACCACCCCACATGGTTCCACACCACCCCTTACGGTCCCACATCACCTCACACTGTCCCACACCACCCTACACTATCTACATGGTCCCACACCACCTCACACTGTCCTACACCACCCCACACTATCCACATAGTCCCACACAACCTCACACGGTCCCACACCACCCCTCACTATCCACATGGTCCCACACCACCCCACACTATCCACATGGCCCCACACCACCCTACATGGTTGCACACCACCCCACACCTCGCACGGTCCCACACCACCTCACACGGTCCCACACCACAATCATATGGTCCCACACTTCCCTTACATGGTCCCACATCACCCTCACATGGTCCCACACCACCCTCACACGGTCACACACCCCCCACATGGTCCCACATTCCCCACATGGTCCCACACCACCCTCACGTGGTCCCACACCAACTCACATCTGCAAAAGAGTGTCCCATGGATGCGTCTTGGACCACTCCATGTGACAATTAAGAGTGTTCTTCCTGGGACATATTGGTAATTCTTGTGGAGACACCTGTTGGACTAACCTGTGGGAATATACCTGGAGAAAATACGTGTTTGTAAGTCTTTAGGGGATTCATCTGTTGGAATTCACCTGGGGATTAATCAGCCTGGATTAGTATTGTTTAGGTAGTCCTGGGATTAGACGCCATGTTAGGGATTACTAAGTAAGTTTCAGTCTTAGTGATATCTGTGGCAGCCGACTCGCAAGAGGGACTTATGGAAAGATGTACCGGGGTGAACGGGGGGAAATTCATATTCAGGTGTAGTTGTAGTAGGAACCATGGCTTTGATTTTCATCGTATGACTCTGGGTTCTTAGATGGAGGTAGAGATAGATTAGCATGATGAAGTAAATTAGCACGATGTAGAGTAGACTAACATGATGTAGAAGTAGATTAGCACGATGCAGAGTAGACTAACATGATGTAGTAGATTAGCACGATGCAGAGTAGACTAATATGATTTAGAGGTAGATAAACACGATGCAGAGTAGACTAACATGATGTAGAAGTAGATTAGCACGATGCAGAGTAGACTAGCACGATGTAGAAGTAGATTAGCACGATGCAGAGTAGACTAATATGATTTAGAGGTAGATAAACACGATGCAGAGTAGACTAACATGACGTAGAAGTAGATTAGCACGATGCAGAGTAGACTAGCACGATGTAGAAGTAGATTAGCAGCACAGTATATGGAACTTGGAGCTACAGTGAACCAACAACGTGATATAGAGGGATGTTTGGTAGGTCAGATATGGTAGATCAGGTAAGGTATGGTAGGTCAGGTAAGGTATGGTAGGTTAGGTAAGGTAAGGTATGGTAGGTCACATCAGGTAAGGTATGGTACGTCAGGCAAGGTATGGTAGGTTGGGGAAGGCATGGTTAGTGAAAGTATTATAGTTTAGGAAAGGTTGGGTACATTGGGAAATAGGTTAAATTTAGAAAATTCTATCTTTTAGGTTAAGGTGACTGTAGGTATGGGATGTTATGTTTGGTAAGTGAAGGCGATGGTTATGCCTCCCCCATCTCCTCCCCGTGGACACACACTTGTGCAGATTCGGTCATATCACACACACACACACACACACACATATATATATATATATATATATATATATATATATATATATATATATATATATATATATATATATATATATATATATATATATATATATATATATATATATATATATATATATATATATATATAAAATGGAAACTTCATGCGTTACATTAAAGATCAATGGAATGTATATCGAAATGCGTGAAGTACATTTGTTGCATATCGGTGTGAGGAATGTTTTCTGAATTGAATAATTATTAGAGGCTGTGATGAGGCACACGCGATTAGAATGTTAATTGTCTCAAATATTTACCATAAATATATGTGTTGTACAATATTAATACATTTGGTAAGTGCAGTGGATGATATATGGAAGGTGGGGGTAACCGTGAGTGGTGAGACTGATAATAGTGCGTGAGTTGGTCGACAACAGTGGTGGGCACCTGTATCCAACACCTCAGGTGAAAGTTACGCTTTTACTTCATTGCATGCATCGTTTAGTCATGAATATTTCTGTGTGCTTTAACTAATACTACAGGAAGGCAGTTTTATGTGGGTTTTACTGATGGGAATGTAGGTGGTGTAGTGTTAGTGGTGATGAGGAGGGTGGTGCGGTGGCAGGTGGTGGGGAAGGTCGGCGGCGTGAGCCAAACAGGAACGCAGGAGCCTCCAGTCCGCTGCTCTCACCTGCTCATGGGAAACGCGCACACCCACTAACACTTGTTTTTCTGCCCACACACTTGTGCAAATCTAATTGACAGAAACTTGTCATTCACTGTCTTTATAATAAACATCGTAATTAAGAACGGATCATGATTATAAATTATGTATAAAGTTTTTTAACAAAATTCCTTCTATTATCATACTGTTATGGAAGCTGATTATGTGGATGCCAAACGTCGCTGCAGAAACACCAATGTGTGTTTTCTGCCTTAAGAGTCTTCTTTTGAGTTGATTATATTTTATAGTCCCCTTTTTTGTGTTCCCAATGCATAGAACTTAGAAATGATAACATCGGTGAATAAGATGACGTGGCTGTCAGAAACTCCCATCCTCTTCGTTAGATTTCGTAATCTGGCGAAATTTCTTACCCCCAAATGATTTCCCGTTACGTTTACCTATAATTAAGTTTGCGAAATGAAGCTGTTGTGTGTATGTGTATGTCTATACTGTATATAATGAAATATGAATAATGAAAATGTTTATCCTATTGTCAACATTTCTTACAGCTTTTCGTTTTGCAAGTAAGGGTGATTCTGTATTCGAACTTTGGGCTTTGGGTGTTCAATGTTGATTCTGTTGTTAAAATTGCGTAGCCAGATGTACAGGACAGGTATGAATCCTGGACGTAATGTCGATCGCTTTGTGGGGGTTTTATTTTTCAAGCACTTGATTACTCACCGTTGATCTATCCGTCCGTCCGTCCACTTCAACCTCACTGTGATAAACACCACTCATCATTGACAAATTTAGTTTTAAAAGTTGGAGATTATGATATTGTAGACCAAGTATTTAGGTTAATATCGAAGTTGCCAAATTGTAATGACTTCTTTTTGTGATAGTAGAGTTATTTGGAAGATGACAGGGTCGCAATAGGTTGTTCAATATGATACGGAAGAATCAGTAAATGAGTTGTAGTGAAATAAGAGCCAAGAAGAATTTAACAAATTGTAATGCCTAGATTTTGAGACTGGCAAACCACTGGTTCGTGTTTGCTAACGAATATGAAACAAATTATAATGAAATACAGTACATGATTTGAAACATTGTTTTCTTGTAATAAAGTTAATCCATTGATGATTGATCGTTTAATTTGAACTCCAAAATATAAGTTATACTACAGTAATATGATACAAGTTCTTTAATCTTAAGAGTATGTACATCTAAATACTCTGTTATAAATTGACTCTTATTTATATCCACAGGCTCTCGATGGATTTTTATTCCTTGTGAGCACCGATGGAAAGATAGAGTTTGTATCTGACAAAGTGAGTCACTTCATCAAGTTTACTTCCGAGGACTTGACGGGGAAGACCATCTACAACATTATCCACGTAGGAGATCATGGCAAATTCTCCTCTTCTTTTTTGTCAATAGGTATATACTGTACGGGCTTGCTTTATTGTAATGTATTTTGTACACTATTATTTTGGTTTAGGATAACATGTTCAAATTTTGGGATATTTGTGTACTTTCAAATAAAGTGGCATCACAGTTGTACTTGTGTGTGGGTGTACTAGATTTTTTTACCTTTCCTTAAAAAGCCATCAATAAAATAAGACCTTTCAGTATTCTGTTGTTTAGGTTAAGCTACTGGCTGCTGTGCATTTTTAACTTTCATAGGACTGTTATCAAAAAAAGAAGGTATAGGTATTTATCCCAAACTAAAAAAACTCTAAATACAGTATCGTGAAGAAAAAAATTAAAACATATATTATTGATGTACCCCAATAGAAAGTTGATGAATCATGTGACTGGAATGAAATGAGGCTAATGAGATAAAGTTTGAAAGCTTTTGGAGTGCTGGAAAGATTCAACATTAAGGAGAATGTAATTGTAATGTGTACCAACTACATGAACAAGTGAAATACAGTACACTACTGTACAAGAAACAGTCTATTTTAGGTGTAGTGTGTGAGGTATTGCTAATGGTTATTTCCAGTTTTGTTATTAAGATTGAAGTGGATTATTGATTATTGGTTGAGAAACAATTGAAAATTAAGTTAAATACTGTAGGTGATAAATGAAATAATTAGACAAATTTGGTAGAAACTACTTAAAGAGTTGACTGATAATGACATAACTTTAAGGCTTGTGTTGAAGTGTTGTGGGAACACCTGAGGAATACAGTACTGTATACAAGTACTGTATACAAGTACTGAAGCAAACAATTCTGCGAGACTATGAAGATAGATTAAAAAAGGAAAGGAGGGGGTTAATTGTTTGAAGATTAGGAAAAATGTTGTCAAGACTAAGAAGAAAATATAAATAAAGTACAGTAGAGAAATAGGATAATGTAATGAATTTGTAAGAGTACAGGATTACAGGGGTTCATGAAAAAAACAAAATTAAAAAATGCTCGAGATTAAACAGTGAATTATTAGAAAGAGAATACAGTACAGTACATGAGATTTAGGATAAACATTTTAAGTATTGTGTGGAAGTGAGACATGGGTGTTGGTGAAACAAGACCCGAGTTTAATAGAAAGGAGCAGAGGTAGAAATAAGATGTAATGCTAATGTTCCAGAAAAATGGAAAATGAGGATGTCTGGATTGAATATGAACAATATGAGGAAGAAATAGTTGAGTAACAGCTGAATAAATTTGGAGAATATGCACATTTGTGTGGCAAAGTAAATAAACAAAACTGGTGATATTTGCTTGGTACAGAGGGGTAAAAGGTAATTCAAGAAGTAACTAACATTCTGTGGTCCTACTATAGTGTTTGGTCTACAAGATATTTAGGTTAAGTTAGGGTAGGTTAGGTTAAGTCATGTTAGGTTAGGTTAGACTAAAGATATCTTTCAGTTAGGTTAGGTCAGGTCACGTTACGTTACACTAAAGATATCTTTGTAGACTGCACACTATAGTATCACCCATTCTATACTGTACTGTACAGTATGAGACCATAGTTGATGAGACCTTTGATAAAAGTGTAAATACATCACTCAAGGAGAGATGATGGGTAAATTATTTGCAGATGCTAATTGTGGATAGTATTTCAGTATGTGCTTTAATTTTTTGATATTGTTTATTTATGGTTTTGAGAAATTAATTACATGATCAATTAAACGTGTTGATTTGGAGAATTCTTGACTTTTTTGTGGCATCTATGGAAGACTTGAATTCTGTTAGAATGTGTCTGAGGAAGTAGCATGTGGGATAAGAAGAGATTACAGTAAATGGTATACAGTATATCAGTTATTTTGTGAAGCTTGATGTATTTTTGGATGAGAGAATACAGAAGATGAGAGTGAGAAGGAGTTGCTTTGGGAATTAGCTGAGTTTTGGTGATACCGTATGGCAGTTGTTTATGGTGATATAGTTTCAGCTGACATAGATATTATATTAGGCAGAATGGTAAACTGTTTTGGTGTACTGTACACTGTGAAAATATTGTGAGGGAAGGCAAGTTTGAAGGGAGGGAGCAGTCTTAATGTATTACTATGTTTAGTGCAAATATTTTTATACTAAAAATTTGAAGGAAAAAACTCATTAAGGATAATAAGAATTGAAAAGTTCATATTAGAGTAAAACAAGGAAGCAAAGTGAGAGGTGCTATGCAAATCTCAAAATATGGAGTGAAATTGTGTACTGTACAGTGTAACAAGCCTGTTTTGATGGTTACTTGTTCCAACTCAATGTAAAGAAGTGTAACTCTGAGGTTGAATGTGAGAGGAGTTCATTAATCGATTAATGTAGGACTTTAATGAGTAGATAGGTTTAAGAAATAATATGTGGGAATACTGTACAGTGAGAAATGTAAAGTCATTAGAAAATTGTGATGTTTTACAGTGTACTACTTGTGCTAACATTGTATGGTTGGGAAAATATACTGTATGTCAATGGCATCATAATATGATACTGTACTATATATTTTTTTGGCAATACTGTAGCGTATTAGTCTTGAATTAAAAAAAAATGCTTGCTGATGTCAGTGTGTTTATTTTGAAAATGCATTTTCTTCCAAACAGCTGTTTACAGATGATAATACTATATTATACTGACCTGGTAGGCAATTCAGAAGCCAAGTTATGAATAACTGGAAAAGAGAATGTGTAGGAAATGTGTAGGGAAGGGAGATAAATAATTAACTATTAGTTTAAATGGAGGTAGCTGTTTTAGATACAGCATCTGAGTGTGGATGTGTCAGTGAGTGGAATAATAGGTGGGAAATTGATTTACAGATTAGGAGAGGGAAAAGTAATAAATACGGAGGAAAATGCAGAGAGAGAGAGAGAGAGAGAGAGAGAGAGTACCCGGTACTCTGTCAAAGGAGGAAAAGTTGGGGATGTATTGAGGAATTGTTGAAACAATATTATTATTCAGGAGTGAAACATGGATTATGGATGCAGTAGGAAAGCTGATTGTATGTGACAAAAATGATGTGATGTGCTGGAGAGCAGTGAGGGGGATGAATAGGATACTAAGATTAAGAAATACAGAAATGGGAAAATGAAAGACAGCTGCTTGAATGGTATGGAAATATTGGAAGAATGGGAAGTGAAAGATTGGTAACAAGAGTGTTTAAGATAACTTTAAAGGATAAGAGGAAGAGGGAATAACTAAATAGGGAATGGAAAAACGGGATGAAGGGAGTAAAATGATGGGCTTAGACGTCCTGGAAACAGCTGTGCATGTGAATGATATGAGAGCTTGGTGTCAAGTGGTTTGAGGGAATGTTCTAGCATTTAAAGTGAATGAATGAAGGTGATTGTAAGAGAAGTGTATGTTTGCTCATGATTCGGGCCAGCCTTCAGCATTGTGGGGTAAGGTTTTTAAGATATAAAAAACTACTACAGGTTGCTTAATTTCTTATTTTTTCCTAAGTGGTTATTTAATGTATGAAATTCTAATTTAAAATAAGTATAAGATATGTAAAAGATGGCTTGACATTTCCTTGTTGACAGCCAAAATATATTGCAGAATAAATTGAGTAATTATTAGGTGGTACCAAAGGAAACACAGGGTCAGAGAGACGACTTTATATCTGATATTTTGTCGCAAAGAACTTTTCCTTGAAACATCAGGAGTAAAGTTGTCTCTGACCCTTTGTTTCCTTTACTACCACCTTACCATTTGTCCAAATGAATCCTACTGATTGAAGAAATGTTTGCAAGATTCGACTTTGGTCTCAGGTACTCGACTGAGGAAAACACAAAGAGATGAGAGTCATTAAGACAATGTTATTTCAGTAACTTTACACAAATTGGAAAGTTTAAAATGGAAATAAAAAATTGCTTCAGTAGCTTTAAGAAATCTTTAATTATTGTTTTTTTTTTCAGGTTGGTCAAGTGAAGCAGCCTGTGAGTCTTCGCGGAGCCGCAGTTTTAACTGTCGCCTCCTGGTCAAACCTCCAGATGACCAGGAGGAGACTATGGAAGAGAAGCAACAGCGGGTATCCGATTATGAGAATATGCAGGTATGGTTATCACTAGCAGTTTTTCATTACACTCTTAACCTTGCTGGGTGCCTAGACCCAAAACCATATATAGACTCTCCCTTCATTTGTTGTCTCATTCTCCCTATTTGCTGTAACAGTGTGGACCCCCTTCCACAACAAGGCCCTAATATATTTAAATGGTTTAATTACCTTTACTTCACACAGCCCAGCTTCACCCACCAGCATCAGCATCAGATTCAGATTTGCCCCCGAGGGGGCTAGTTTATTGGGCACCCCCTTACATCCTGTGCAAGGTGAAGCGCAGAAGCGTTTACAGCGCCCAACAGGGAAGTATGAAAAGTTCATACTTGCCTTTATGACTCGTACATTAAGGGCGTAAAAGCCTGAAGGGTCATAGGTTCTGTCAAGTTACATAAAGTGAGAGAATGATGAGTGTGTGGGGGGAAAGTTTCCGGTACATTTTATCTGTTTATGGCAAAGAGTGGCAGGTCCCTAATAATGTCAAATGCCAGGCCTGTGACTAGGAGGAGGGATATCTGGTCTGGGAGGGAAGAGGTGTTGGTAATGGCTGGGGACCTATAGGAGGAGGTCATAGGGCAAGTGAGGATGTAGTGAGAGAGGGTGTGAGAGTCGGGTTGGCCACAAAGTTTACAAACAGTGCGGTGAGGCTCAGGGTTGCCAATGTACTCCCATAGGTACCTGTACCCTAGGCGCAGTCTCATGTATATAAGCTGTTGAGATCGAGTCAGGGATTGATATTCTTTGTAGTGGCGGTTGTCGTCACCGGTTACAACGTCAGAGCAGCAGCATCCAACCCCAAAAACAATGACACCAAATTTTCATGTCATTCACACACACAATGCTACTTCTTGGATACATATTCCCTTCACATCTTGTGCCTTCTTCACCAAATCCTTCTGTCTACTTCTTGGTTATCCCTCCTTTTATACTCTCATTTTTTTATTTAATTTTTTTTTACCAATTACAGTATACCAATCTTTCCTGTTTCATTCTCTCATTCTACAGCCATCTTAGAAAACCTTGGTCGGCTCTGTCCAATGCTTTTTTTCATGATGATGTTTCGTTATTTCTTTATTTAATATTATTTGCATCCTGATCACCCCGCATACTATTCTCAAACACTTACTTTCTCTTTCATATTTCAAACTCATGCATTAAAGGTGTCACAACAATTCCTTTGTACTGTGCTTCCCCATCTCTACTTTTCTTGACATGTCTTTCTGCCCCTCTTCAAAAATTTTTTTAAAAATTTATGACTTCCTTCCCACAAATGCTCTTGTATTCATTTCATCTCACAATATTCAATTTGATGATGTATCTAATGAGAGAAAGACTTAAGTATTTTCAAATACTTTGGAAATGATTATTTACTCATTGATCTGTAGTATAACTACTGTTGTGGGTGCTCTACTGCTGAACTTGTTATTCCACACAAATTCAATCCATCAATCAGTAGATAACAAGGATGGTCTTTACTTGGTCATCTTTGTATTGATTCCTTAATGTCTCAGGGTTCTCTTCTAGCTTCAAGTCATTTCCACTTACACATTGAACATGTACTGGTATATTTATTCTTATACAGATTTTCAATGACAAGCAAACAGTAAAGTATATTTATTGTTAAAGAGAAGGTAGGCATTCCCCTTACTCAACTCTTATAATGACATAATTTATCTGGTCACTGGCCAATATTGCTTCTCTAAACTTTATATTCGTGTTCATAACCAGGCCCTACTTTACTGATGACCAATTAGCAACAATTTTATGCGAGTCATGTGTGCTCTGTGCTCCCAGATGGAACACTGCTGTCATCTCTGTGCTGGTTAAGGTGTTGCAGTACTTTGTTTTGTTGACTTGATTAGAAGTAGAGAAAAACCATCAGAATAATTTAAGACAACAACCTTACCATGAAACTTCCAGCACTACACACTCCCTCTTCTATAGATACACCCATCATTGGTCTCGGAGAACATATGAGAGAGAACATGCCATTTTTCTCAATATTCCAACTTGCAGAACCTTTACTTACCGTTTTTTTCATTTATGCACAGGAAAAACACTTGCACCTACAGGTAATTCTATTTTTATGAATTGAAAACAGTACAATATTATTACTAAAATAACCAGTTGATACTTGTTATATTCCTGACTGTTTCTCTGAGTATGTTTTATATTATTTACAGATTTCTGCTGTGCTTTTGCCATCGTATTTTGTGGACAAAAGTAATAGTGAATCCTTTGAAGGGGAAGGACAACAGTGCCTAGTTTGTTTGGTTCGGAGAATTCCACCCAACGAACGCATACAGGGTACTCCAGTTGAACAGTTTACCACCAAACTGGATATTCACGGCAACATAACTGCAGTTGATGCAAGTGGTGTATCCCCAAAATATAGTCAATATATCAGTAAGGTGAGTCATTCTATTTCATGAAGTCCTGTTATTATTCCTTGTAACTGTATGGCATGGGGATTTAGAAATGTCCTTCATCTATGTGCCTTTCTAGTTGTATAGTTTTCAGTAGAATTAAACACAAGTTTGCACATGTGATTTTCACCAACTGAAGACATGTGTACTGTTTAATATTTGTGTTCCATCAATCCTCAGCAGAGTTATGATTCATAATAGACTCTTGTTCATATATTATTTGCTTATGACTTAACAAAAGCTTTGCACACATGATGGTTTACTGCTTGGAGGTAATGAATGTATTATAATAAGGATACTGCTTGAGTTTTTACCAGTTACAGCCTTCTTTGTACTGTAATTTCATCTCTCATAGCTGAAAACTTACAACAGTTTTTAGTAGAACATAACAAAACTTTCCATGCATGTGGTCATCAACTGAAGATTATTTTATTGTATAATCTTTGTTGTATAAATTATTAAAAAAATAAATTCATATAAAGCCTCGTAATTTTGCCCATATTGGTCACTCGAAAAGTGTGAGCAATTGAAAATGATGAACATTTGAGACTTGCTTCACATTAACCCATGCAAGCATGGAAAATGGCCTTAAAATGATGATGATCCTGGTCAAGTACAGTATCTGCATGCTGCTTGCCCTAAGTCGGTGGATGGCAAGTAGCCATGGTACCTTGAAAACACATATAGCCTCACAAAAAGTTGTGTAATTTTTAGTGAATATGAAACTAATACAGTACTGTAGTTGCTAAGTGGTCCAAGCAGTGATAGAGAGAAGACTATGGACACTTTTTGAAGATTAAGGAGTTTGAAGGTTTGAAAGCAAAGAGGTTAATTTTACCAGCCAATCCAGGAGGAGTAGAAGATGGATTAGCATTTGTTGCAGGGAGTCCAGATGATACTGTGTTGAAAGAATACAGCATTCATGTACTGTACATGAAAGCTTCTGCATTGGCATGAATCTGGTAACACCTATTTCTAACCCAGTGTGTGTAGATGTAAATGCTTTGAAAACAGAGGAAATAAAGCATTTGTCATGGTAATAGTGAGAAAAGGTTTGACAGATAATGCCTTCCATATGAACAAAAACTTTATACTGTACATCATTTACATTCAATTTTTACAGGACAAAATTGGTGAGTCCTTCACAGAACTGATTCACCAAGGGGACGTTGGGAAGGTGACAGGCCACCTGCGAGAAACTTTGCAGTCGGGGCAAGCTACATCTCAAGTGTACCGGGTTAAGGTAAGCATTTTAATCGAATATAATGAGTCTATGGTGTCTTTCTTTTGAGGTATTTTACATTTTGATTAAGCTAGATTCTTTGATTCATAAGTACATAATATGTGCAGGTAACTGTATTAGAATACAGTGACCCCTCGGTTAACGAACTCAATCTGTTCCAGCAGGTCGTTCGTTAACTGAAAAGTTTTTTAACCAAAACCATTGTTTCAATGGGTTTTTGGGTAATTGGTTCCAGCTCACCGAAAATTTCCTAAATTCAACGAAAATGGGAGAAAAGTTCACTTACTTTGAGGTGTGTATGTAGAAGGCTCCTGGATGATGATGATGATGATGATGGGAATTAGAATGGGGGTGGAGGAGAAGGAAGAAGAGAAGGCATGGAAGAGAAGTCACCCCATGGATTTTAGTTCTCTTGGTGTATTTCAAGATTATTTTCTTTAAATCAACACTGCACTGCATTATATATTGTCAATATGTAAAATATATTTCAAAATGACCAATAATTTGCTTGGAAACACAGAAAAAAAGAAGAGAGTCTCAAGCAAGATGTTACCTCCAGTGAAAACAGAGAGACTAACGCCTGTTTGCTGTGTTAAGAGGCTGGATGCCGCGCATTAAACTAGTCACTTTACCTTCAATTATGTTCAATAATTGTTAAAATGACTAAAAAATTGAATATTAAACTTTTAAAATTATTGAATAGTATAAACTTCTTGATATTTACTAAAATAGTAAGGAATTTAAGCCCTAGAACCAATTAATGTATTGGGGGACTGATACTAAAGCTGGTTGCCTGGCCAGTGCAAGCGAAAACATGTTGAGGTCGGTTCGTAAGAAATTTGTTAACTGAATTTTTGTTCGTTAACCGAATTGAAGATCCTTATGGAAGGCAGTTCGTTAACCGAGGCGTTCGTTAAACGAGGGGTCACTGTAATTAAAATGAAATTATAGTGAATTTGCTACCAGAGTTTAACAGTTAATTCATGTATAATACTCCTGATAAACTTCCTAAGTGCTTATGTTTGAAATAATGAATGTATGTATCTTTATATAATTTAGCTAAATATCTTTCTCGTCAGAAACGGTCATCCCAACGATTATGAATAAACTCATTTAGAAATACATCATTACTTCAGGACAAAATCGGACAGCTTTGCAACATCCAATCAGCAGTAAATTTTGAGGAGGGGGGCGGGGCATCTTTTCTCAGCTCAGAAAAAACGCACTATATAAATCATGAAAATGATCGTAACCTTAGCAATTTAGAGGCATTTCTGGCAAAAATTGATACACATGTTGGGAATAAAGATATTGTAATACAGTACAAACAAAGATTATTATTGCATGCAAAATAATGTACACACACACACACACACAGAGGATCACGCGGTTCCCTTAAAGTCATTCAATGTGTGCTACCATTGGAGTGTCTCAGCAGACGGGGAAGAGGAGCGAGAACACACCACATGTCAGCACCGCAAACTTAGGCTGATAATCTCTTTACAGAAATGGGATTTTTGACCCTACATATTATTGCTACATGCACTCTCGGCCTCGGAATCGAGAGGTCAATGAGATTAAAAAAAATGTTTTTGGCCGGGTTGGCGCTTATGAAGTTATGGTCTGCATAGCCTCATATAGTTTACATTGAAGACTGTTAAGTACTCTTTTATGGGCATTTTAATGCATTAGACTGAACTCAACCTTCTGTAGCCAAGAGAGTACAAAAAGCATGTTTCAGGTTGGAGGAAATCGCTGTATTCGAGTGCAAACCAAATCCAAATTCTTCCGTGGTGCAGACGGGCCTCACCCAGACGGAAGTTTCATGATGGCAACACATTCTATTATTGGGTAAGTTACCATTGTATGTTGTGTTGTGTTTCTGAAGATATAGAAAATAATTTTATGTTTTATATCAGTAGATAGAATCTTGTAATGCAGCTAAAAGTTGGGTACTTTTTTGGCTAGATGTTTATAAGGAGTTTTGTACTTATTTGTGAATAAGATACAGTACTATCTTTGGATAACACTATTAGTTTTATCACTAATAGTGGATATTGTTGGATAAGGTAGTAGCATATGGTTTGAAGTAATGAAATATTGGTTTGTTAATTATGTAAAGCACTTAAGGTGTCTACAGTATATTGGTAAGTCATTTGCCATTTGAGGGTTTGACTCATTTAGGGTATTTTCATTGTTACAGAAATCAAATATTTTTTAAATGATGAATATTTCAGACTGGTTCATTGTTTGCAATTGGTTAAATTTTTTTGTGATTGATGAAATCTATAATTTTAACTTCTTTTCCATGCAGACCTTTCCAAGAAGGTAATGGGACATCAGCAGCTGATAGATTGCTTGCTGGAACCTCGGGTAATGGAGGATCAGTGTTGGACGAGTCATTATCGGGCCGACCAAGCAGTACAGGAGGAGCAGGAGATGACTCTGGCGTGTCCTCCCTCGGCGAAAATACCCGACTACGAAAACTCCTTAGTGTAACCGGTAGTGAAAGTGGTAGTGACTTGCCCTCAGATAACTCCAATAAAATCCTCAAGGATCTCCTCAACCAAAAGGATGAAGATGATGCCCAGGGGGGAGTTGCTGGCAGTGGAGGGGAAGGAAATAGCACTTTTGAACGGCTTATGTCACGTGTCCCCTCTCGTCATGATTTCAAACCTAATACATCATCCTCTCCTGCAGTGAACCCCTCAACCAATAATATGTTGAGAGAGGTAAGGTTAAGATTTTATTTTTATTATTTCTGTTTTGAATTTTAATAATTAAATTTATTATAATCAGTAAAATAGGTGTTTGGCATAAACATATCCAAACAGCTACTAGTTACAGTATGAAGAGATACCCTGTTCTTATTTCATATTCGTAAGTTAGATCACAATGAGGAAATTTTTTTGTTTCATTTTCATAATGTGAGCCGTCTGTAAACCTGGTAGGTACCATAATTTTATTTAATCTGAGAAGACTGTATTCCTCAGGATTATAAAACCCTCATGGATTTACTTTGGTAAATACTTTATTAATATTTTTTCTTTCTTTTATTTATTTGTAATGTACATGATTAAAGCAAGCCTTTCATTTTAATATTATCTAGAAAAATTCATATACTGTACAGGGGGCCCCCCAAGTTTGCGGAGTTTTACTTCGCGGTTCTCGGTTTTTCGCGGATGACACCCTGGATGTACCCAAGAATGTCTGTGGGTAGTTCTAAAGTTGCCGGCATTTTCGCGGCTGGGACAGGGAGCCATTTGTTCTAGAGACAGTAATTTCCTTTACCTTTATTGTAATAAATAAATAATAATAATAATAATAAACGGTTTATTGAAAAGTTTGCAGCCCAAAGGCTGAAAATATACATGGGACATAAATGACTTATTACATACATTGGTAGTTTAACAAAAGCCTTCGTTAGAGAAAGGTGAAGGAACATACAGTGAACATACAGATTAATGTTTACACACGTAGATCATGTGAGCTGAGGTGTTGAACAGCAGACACGTAGTGTAGTAACTCCCTCACAGATGGCGTTATGAGGGGCATCACGTGGAGTACTAGTTTTCTCACAGGTGGTGTTGTGAGGGGCTTGACGTGGTGTAGTAATTCCCTCACAGATGGTGTTATGAGGGGCCTGATGATGTAGTAGTTACCTCACAGATGGTGTATGAGGGGCCTGATGATGTAGTAATTCCCTCACAGATGGTGTTATGAGGGGCCTGATGTGGTGTAGTAATTCCCTCACAGATGGTGTTATGAGGGGCATCACATGATGCTGTAGCAACTCATTCACTACGTGGTGTCGTAGCATCATGGGGACACCACGAGGTCTGTTGTCACAGGACTTCACTCACTCAAGTGGGTATGGTGTGGTCCCAGGTCTCTCTATCGAAATATGGGTGTGTGTGTGTGTGTAGACACACACACACACACACACAACACATACAAATAATACTGTAACCATTGGAAAATCCTCTCACAGATAATCAGAAACAAATTTACTTGTGTACAAAGAAATGTATATTCTCTTTATGTGTTTGCCTTTAGGACAATTATTTCTTTTACCTGTAGTATTGTATGTGTGGGTGTATGTAGACACGCACACACATACACAAATGTTATTCAGGGACTTGGCGATTTGTGACCATTTTGAGAACCTAACCCCCGCGAATTTGGGGGGCTTCCTGTACCTTTTATTTATATAAGAACATAAGAACATCAGAAAATAAGGAGTCTGCAATAGGCCAGTTGGCCTGTGCATGGCAGCTCCTGACGAGAGTTACTACCATACTCTATCATCCACGAATCTATCTAGCCTCCTTTTAAAACTTTCCAGCATTCCAGCACTTACTACAAAGTTGCTAAGCTTGTTCCACTCGTCCACCATCCTATTTGTGAACCAGTTCCTTCCTATCTCCCTCCTAAACCTAAACTGATCCAACTTAAATCCGTTGCTACAAGTCCTATCCTGCTTGGATATTATAAAAACTTTATCTATATCTCCTTTATTGATTCCTTTCACCCACTTAAATACTTCTATCATATCTCCCCGCACTCTTCGTCTTTCTAGGGGATGCAAATTTAGTTTCTTTAACCTATCTTGATATGGAAGGTTTCTAAGTCCCGGAATCATTTTCGTCATTCTTCGCTGCACCGACTCCAGTGAATTGATATCCATTCTGTAATAAGGGCACCAGAACTGAACTGCATAATCGAGGTGCGGCCTGATTAGCGCAAGATATAGTTGCAATAAGACCTCTGCACTCTTATTACTTACACTTCTAGATATAAAACCTAATACTCTGTTTGCCTTATTTTGAACATTAACGCACTGTTTTCTAGTCCGTAGGTCCGGGCTTACAGGTATCCCTGAGTCTCTTTCACAAGTCGACTTCTCTAGGTTGATGTTGTTAAGGCTGTATACATTGACAGTATTTGTTCTTCCAATATTAAGTACGCTGCACTTGCTGGTGTTGAATTTCATTTGCCATTTTTCTGACCACTCCTGCAATGTATTTAAATCCTCCTGTAGTGCATTTGCATCCTTCCCTGAATTAATCTGCCGCCCTATTTTGGTGTCATCTGTAAACTTGCTTATGTGTATCCAAATTTGTAGTCCAATTCTTTTTCATGTGCTAAGACTGCAGTGTTTGGTACACAGGAGGGAAGAACTATCAAATTGATATTATTCAAACTTTAGTAATTTTTAAAGGAATCTAACTTGATATGTGTTTGATTTCAGTTGCTGAATACTGATGATGACGACAGTGAAAATCGAAAAGGTAGTAATGATATATGGGAATTGTTAAATGACACCCCAGATGAAAAGAAGCCAGACATTACCTCTGACTTCAGACAACCACAAGGGGCAGGAGGAGGCTTACAGTCAGCAAATTCCACCTCTTCATCACCCTCTTCCCTCAGTACCTTAACCTCATCATCATCTAATATCTCACAGTCTACGAGTTCTGGTGTTCCTCCCAGACCCCGGAGTGCAGACATGTTAAATGCACCCAATATGCTGCGGGGTATCAAGCGGCCGAGTGATGAAGCTCATGATGGCAATCCAAGTAAACAGGTATGATGATTGTTTTTTATTAATTTTATTCTTGCTATTGTAATTTGAAATTATTTTTGACTTTGTAAATTTGAAAAAAAAAGCATTTGCAGATTTACTTAAAATTAGTCAGTGAAAAAATAATTAAAGGTTTTTGTAGATAGATGTAGAATAGGTGTATAAAATAATTAAGGTATATATTTTGACTGTTTTGATGGTATCCCACAGATGATGGGTGCATTTGAAAGTCTTTTGGGTCCATCACCTCCTGCCACCTCCATGAGTCCTGCACCAGTCCAACATGGAGGGCCTCCCACACCTCATGGTGGCCCAACAACACCTCATGGAGGCCCTCCAACACCTCATGGAGGCCCTCCAACTCCACATGGAGGTCCCACCACACCACATGGTGGACCCACAACCCCGCATGGCCCTCCTACCCCTATTGGTAACAATACTGGAGGTGGTATGGGGCATGGAGGTCCTGGGGTTAGTCCAAACAACCAGGGTTCTTCAAAGCTTTGGGAAAGGAACAGAATGCTTGCCTCACTTTTAGCAAAAGAAACAGTTCATGTGAACCAGGTAAATTGATAATTTTATGCACTTATACATTTCTATGAGTGGAATGTGTTTGTAAATAGAATGACAAGTGAAAAATTGAACCATTGAACCACAGAATAACAAAAGGAATAAAGTAATACAGGTAATTGGATTGTGAAAAGTATGGAGATAGAGAACTGTGTTAAAGTTTGTAAAAATGGGGATGCATGCACTAGGGAATCTTTAAGCTGACTGAGGTGATGTGGACATGTGAAAAGATACTAAAGAGAGTGTATAAAGTCACTTTAGTAATTTCATGGTGAAATGCTAAACTGTAGGTGGTGTAGAGTAAGATCTCATATTTTGCGCGATTTCATTTCGCATTTTTGAATTTTGCAAGCACTACCTAATGTAACCAAATCTTATATTTGGTGTAAAATATCGTGAATTTCGCGAGATCCAGCAAGCTGAATGCTGGTCATCGTCTTGAATGGCGTCATAACCCTCATACCAGTTACAGTCATTTCTGCTACAACGCGTGTTTTGTTAACGCAAATTGGTTGCAACGCTGTTTGTAAAACGTGAACTTTTGCATATGAATGTTGGCTATAGCACGATTCCATCCTCTGTTTTGATTCCATCCACAACGTTTTAAGCATGAGGCGGGGTTATGAAATGTTTACAGTTCACATTCGACGTCACATGTTCAATTGATTCGTGTCTTTTGTATGTGAAGTGTTTTTTGAGAGGTACTCTGTAATTTTTTTTTTTTTTCCAAATTTACCTGTTACTCATAAATATTGAATGAAAAGAACACGTAAAAAGAATGTTTCGCTTTGAGGACTAATAACGGTTTACACCAGCGCTCTCTGTTTACATCACGTGATCAGTTGAATCGCGCAGTTTCTGTCAATTACAGTGGGGTATGCTATAACGAATCTAATTGGTTCTAGAACCTTGTTCGTTATAGCATTCGTTCGTTATAGGATTAATACGTTCCAGGCCCCCAAATACAACCACTTAACACTGAAAAATATAATATAAAATTGTAAAAATTGTATAAAAGTGCATAAATATGCATCTAAACCCCTGAAATAAAGAATATCATTAATACTTGTAATAAAAAAAATATAATTTAGTAAATAAAAAAAGAATTTTTTTTTTTTTTTTAAATAATGTTCGTTGTAGGAGTTTTGTTCGTTATAGCATTCTCAATTTTATACGTAAAACCGTTCGTTATAGAAATATTCGTAGTAGGTTCCGTTCGTTATAGCATACCCCACTGTACTCTGTGATTTTCGCTATTTTCTCCAATTTTGTTGTGTTAGCGATGAATATGGAAAGACAAGGTAAGAAGAATGTTCCAAGAAGCGTTCTGGTGATCAAATTGCTGGTGGTGAATGTAAAAGAGGTTTACAAGACCGCAACTATCGCGTTGTAGCCCGCGCCATCCTAGCGACCGCCTGGGCTGTCATTGTGTGCTTTTTTGGGTGGTATTACCACCTGTCGAGTCAAGATAATGGCCTCTACCTCTACTGGGGGTCCTAATGGTGCTGGTGAGGGTGGGACAGACCCACCTCAGTGGACAAATAAGGAAAAAGAGAAGCGGGACTATCATAAAGGAGTTATGTTTGCCAAGTACTCGATGCAGAATAAGCAGCGTGTGATTAAGTTACTTGAGGAAGGCCTAAAAACTAGTTTCCGGAAAGCACAATCAAGTCAATAAAGGCAGAATTTGTATCATTTGGAGGTTATAAATGGGAAAATCAGAGGTTGATGTAGAGTGGCCAGTCAATATTGTTATTTTTCCCATTAGTTTATGTATTTGCATTTGGCGAATTTGAATTTGGCGCAATTTTTCCAGTCTATATTACTCGCGAAATACAAGACCTTGCTGTAAAAATATGCCAGCCTTTAACTATTTCTTCTTTTCCTTAGGAAATTCCCACATACATACTACAGTATTACATATTCACCTGAAATGTTAATTCTTCTTTATAATTCAACTTTATCCCTGCTCATTCTAATTCCTTTTCATTTTTATTTGTATCTGTTATTGCCACACACTTCTCCTTCTGCAGACACAACATTAGAAAGTTACCACTTTTTCTCACATATACAGTACTTTGTCATATTGTTTGAAGATAATAAGAAGAGATGCAAATAATAGAAATAACGCTCACACTTGCTGCTGAAAAATTGCCCTAGGTTTAGACCTAGTTTAGTATGTGATTTACAGCAGAGAATTGTATTATTATTTAGGTTTTCACTAAAGTCTGAATGACTTATACTTAAAGGGCAGCAGATAGTTTGAGGAACAAAAAACACATTCAAGGAGAAAATCCCATTGGGACTTGGTGTGAGAAATAATAATAATAAAACAAGATAAAATGGAAGACATTATGCATACAAATTCAGTAATTGGATTATTGTATTGCAGACTCAGCCTCCATCCCAACATGCAAACCCACAAGGTTTACCCCAGGAAAAGCTCCCAAAGGACTTGGAGAAGAAGTTGCAGACTCCAGGCCCTTGGCAGCCTCCAGGGCGAAACGATTCTGAGATCCTAAATCAACTTCTCATCAAAGGACCCAGCGTCCCCCGCTCTAATGTGAAGGTCAACACATCTATGGGTGAGTATATTTGTACTTGAATAGCTTAAGTGTAACAAATTGTTATATATATTAATTTTATGGGGCTTTCTATTTGATGGATTGATGACTGTTTTTTTTTTCTTTTTCTTAGTATTACAATTTAGAAAATGTATTACCAGATTTAAATATTTGAAAAAGTTTGTGAGTCTCAGCTTAATGCTGATACAGTACAGTACAGGTTGAACCTCAATTTAAAGGGCACTGGATTTACTGGCAACCTGCATTTAACAGCAAAATTTAGAGATCATGAATTTGGAAGACCCGTCCGTAATTTTCACTACCTGTTACAGCACTCCCGCGGCACTGAAGTTGGTTTGTTTTGGCATTGAAGTCAAGCCGGTGCTGTGCTGAAATTTCTACTTTCTTTGCATCAATTATGGCCTCTAAGCAACCTGTAAACCCTACAGGAGTTGCTAGCGACCCAAAGAAGAAAAGATTTTCACCTGAACATTGTGCACAAGGTTGAAATATTACAGAAACTAGATGGTGGAATGTTTTAATTTTGCCTCCCCCCCCCTCATACTTCAATCACTACGGCAAATTGGATTTAACGTCATAAGCCAGGTCCCATCGATGCTGTTAAATCGAGATTCAACCTGTATAACTGAAACATGGATTGCTTGTGCTGGAAGTAATGAAGAAGATTAGATTAATGGGGAGACATAAACAAATTAATTATTGAGGCTAAAGTAAGGGCAAATAAAAAGTCATTGTGAAATGAGAAAACATTTGTGTTTAAACAAGAGTTGGAGTTTGAGAATGTGGCAATATACCAAGTTGTGTCACCTTTAGAATAAAGAAGGAGGACCCTTTACAGTCTCGCTCAGTAGTGTTTCTGTTGACCCATAAGGCCATCTAGTTGAGATACTCTTTCTTTTAAATTCTCTAAAGTAGATTGAGTATTGTAAATGGGTAATTTTTTTACAGGTCCTAATATGGGTATGAACCAACAACTGCGTACATCAACGGCGACACCGATGATGGGTGTTCAGGGAGGTCTCAGCTCACAATGCCATATGACTTCTCAACCTTCTTTATCTTCTCAAAGTGGCATAGGAGTGAATGCTCTTAACATTAGTGGCTCTGGACCTGTATCAGTATCTCTTGGTGGACCTGGGGCTTTATGTGGTAGTAGTGGAGTGTCAGTTTCGGCTTCATCCATGTCGACTGCAACAACAAATACACTGCCGTCATTTAAGGCCTCTATGGGTCTTAATGTCCTGGGGCCAGTGAGCAGTAGTTTTCCAGATGGTTCCTTACCATCCATTACCACTTCCTTCCCTTCTGCCCTACAAAACCACAACGATGATTATCTACGAGAAAGTGTCATTAATGATATATTAGAGGTATGTATAATTTTGGTTTTATTTCTGTATAGTATGTCAGTCTATTGTGTCTGTATGTGTTTTGCTCCATCTTATGTTTTCCTACTTATCTTTTTGTTTATAGTTGCTCGGTGCATCGTGGTTTATGCATTTAATAGGTGTATAAATATAACTGTCAGCATGTCAACAGTAGGACAGGAGGTTATGGGAGAAAGATGACTAACATTAGAGTTGAATTGATGACAAAGTTAAAAAAAACAAATACGAACAGCAAAAATCCAAAGGTAGAAAATTAGATGTGGTTGGTGTTGAGTAAGACTCTTAAAAGTGGTGATGCAGCATTATTGTAATGGATATGGAGAGTACAGTATACAGTTTATGGGTACTTGATAGAATTGTAAAAAGTATCAGACTTTGTTGCTAAAGTAAAAGTATAGTTACATTAGCAAAATGTTACTTAAGTAGAAGTAAAAGTATCCAAAGTTCAGTGTACTCATGTAGAAGTATAAAAAGTATCTCATTCATAAGTACTAAAGTACTGAAAGTAAAAAGTATTGTAACAACAAAATTAGTAATCGTCTCAAATATTAAAATAAATCCACAGTAAATTATAAAAAAAGCTCGTAACTGATTCTCAAAATTATTACTGTCCAATTGGGATCTTTTAGGCCTAAATATAAGCCCAGCATGACCAAATAGATGCTCACAAGCAGCATACGTGAAGAAACGCTTGTAATTGGTTTGCCTCCATGTTTGTCCTGTGATTGGATATTTAAAACTATTGTTTGAGGCATGTAACGAGTAAAAAAAATAAATAATTGTATTTGAGTAAAAGTATTAGAAAACTATACTCAAGTAAAAGTACTGAAAATTTTGAGTACTTTTTAAAATGTAAATAGCCAAAAATGTTACTTGAGTACAGTGCTCAAGTAAATTTACTTAGTTACTTTACAACTCTGGTACTTGAGAAGTTGATGTGTATCATATGGTTGAAACATTTGTTATTCTACTGTGTAAAGGAAAAAGCAGAGAGGAAAGAATACAAGAGAGTTTGCTTCATTTATGGCTTTACAAAAAACTAATGATGAAGTGAACCCAGATGGAAATTGGGAAGTTCTGGCTCTTATTAGAATGCTTTATGTTTTTGTTGAATAAGTTTTTAATATTGATATAGACATTGGTTATGTGAATGAGGTACCATATGCTTGCATTGCAACAAGGTGTGGGTGTGTGTGGGTGGTGTAGATGTGTGTGTGCATGTGTGTGTGTGTGCGTGTGTGTGTGCGTGTGTGTGTGCGTGTGTGTGTGTGTGTGTGTGTGTGTGTGTGTGTGTGTGTGTGTGTGTGTGTGTGGTAAAATGAACAAGTATCCACATACCATTCAAGATTTATTTTATTTATTTTTTTTATTTTTTTTTTTTTTTACAGATGACCAACACATTTCCTGGTGGAACATCACCAGATGAAATAGGAATCAACCATGACCTTAACTTAGAGGACCTTCAACGGCCCCCTACATCATCAACGCATGAACTAATTGAGATTCAGAAAATTCAGAACTCTCTTATGTCTGACATTGAAGCTCAGCCTTCTCCAGCAGTGACAGGGCCTGGAACTTTGCCTCCCTATACTGCTGTAGCTGTGAGTTAACTTGGTTGTTCATGAAGGATATTGGGTATTTTGAAATTATACAAATATTGTTTTATAATTTTATTTATTTTTCATGCTGATATGTAGATTCATCCATAAAAGATGGGACAAAGGGTGTGACAGATTTTAGGATGGGGCTTTGATAAACTTCAGATTTTCTTCTCTGCTTATATGCTGAGTGATAAAGAAAGGACACTCATTATCTCTCTGTGACATTATAGAAAGTTGGATGGATGGAAGTTTACCAAGGTGGTATGCTTATTTATAAGAGGATGAATGCTAGGTTGTTGAAGATTTATTATGGTTGATATCTTAATAATTACATTAAAGCAAAAGAGGAAAAGGTAGACCTATTGAGACAAATTATGTCAATAATTGAACTTTAAGTTTCAGTAGTATTGTCCATTATAAAACAGTAATTCTTAACCTTTTATTCCCAATATCCTCACACTGTACTCAATGTGGTACACTGTCTTTACCATGAAAAAGATGAATGAATATGAGTGGAAAGAGGTATTCTCATTCTTTACCTTTTAGCTACAAGTTTTGTTCCACAAGTAAAGCATATTTTCTCCCTTCTTGTTCCAGTCTGTCCAGTCACATGTGAGTTACCCACCTCCATATTCCCAAAGAACACGGTTTCCAAGTGGAGGCCCAGCGGGGGGTCCAGGTGGGGGGACAAATATTGGTGGACATATGAATCCTGGAAATATGATGCGACCCACTGCCCAGCAGTTTGCACCTGGGAGTCCAACAATGCAATCTCGACCAGTTATTAATAGTCAGGTTGGTTAATACCGGGTAATCTTTGATTTTAGTTCATTCATAAAATATAAACAACATTAACTCTCTAAGGACAATAACCAAAACTGTTGCATTATAGCAGACAGTATGATTCCTGTAGCTGTTACCGTTTGACTTTACCCATGCATTTTTAATAATAATAATAATAATAATAATAATTAACGGTTTATTGAAAAAATTCTGCAGCCTGAAGGCTGAAAATATACATTGGACATAAATGACTTACTACATACATTGGTGGTTTAACAAAAGCCTTCATTAGAGAAAGGTAAAGGAACATACGTGAACATACAGGTTAATGTAGGTGTTGAACAGCAAACTCGTAGTGTAGTAACTCCCTCCCAGATGGTGTTAGGAGGAACTCACGTGGTGTAGTAGTTCCCTCAGATGGTGTTATGAGGGACCTGGCGTGGTGTAGTAATTCCCTCGCAGATGGTGTTATGAGGGGCCTCACGTGGTGTAGTAATTCCCTCACAGATGGTGTTATGAGGGACCTCACGTGGTGTAGTAATTCCCTCACAGATGGTGTTATGAGGGGCCTCACGTGGTGTAGTAATTCCCTCACAGATGGTGTTATGAGGGGCCTCACGTGGTGTAGTAATTCCCTCACAGATGGTGTTATGAGGGACCTCACGTGGTGTAGTAATTACCTCACAGATGGTGTTATGAGGGATGTAGTAATTCCCTCACAGTGTTATGAGGGACCTCACATGGTGTAGTAATTCCCTCACAGATGGTGTTATGAGGGACCTCACGTGGTGTAGTAATTACCTCACAGATGGTGTTATGAGGGACCTCACGTGGTGTAGTAATTACCTCACAGATGGTGTTATGAGGGACCTCACGTGGTGTAGTAATTACCTCACAGATGGTGTTATGAGGGGCATCACGTGGTGGTGACCAGTTAGGCATGATAACTCTGAGACTAAGAGTGGTTGCACATTTTAAGTTATTTAACAAATACTGGACTATCATTGAGTAATTATTGATCATCAAAATTATGCCAAAGATTATCATAGTTACCCCTTCACACATATGTATTCTTTCACATAAAATATTAATTTTTTATATTAAATAAATGGGTAACTGCTAAAAAAATAATTAATCCCAATAAGATTGACAATTATAAATTAAAAAGTATATTAAACTCAAAATATTCTTACATAAAAATAAAATTTTAATCCCATAAGCCGATAGAAGAAGACTATAAGGTGATTGTTGCCTCCTACTTAATCCTTTAGTAACTATCATATGGCTAGTTTCAGATTTTCTTTCCATAGCATGTGTTTTGGCATGACCATAAATGAGTTACAACCATCAAATATTCTTTTTAGATTTGTTTGACAATCTCTAAAATCCGTCGTCTGCACAGCCATCCAAAATTTTCAAGTGTTTGCTGTGAAATGGTTCATAAGCTTATTTATTGAATGCTATAAATATCAGGAAAAATAATTTAAATTGCCCAGCCCATTAGAATTAACTGAAACTTATAAATAAGCTCATTCTCATGATGTAAGTAGCTACAGTACAGTATGTCACTGTACAGGCAGTCCCCCAGTTTATGAAAATTCAAAGTTACTGAAAAAAAATCTGTTCTATGTTTTGATTTATGGGAAAATATCTGGTTATGATGTCTTTTTTATTTTGTTCATAATTTTTCATAACTTCAGAAGATTCTAAGGTTCTGACAGAAGTCAGTTTGTAAAGTCAAGCGAAAACCAACATCAGTATTGTACTGTATTAAGAGCAGTTAACTTAATAAGATACATTGAGTGTTTTAGCCATCATGGCTCTCTTGATATGACATGAAGCAGTGGTTAGACACTGACTCAAGATATTTCGACAGTGGGAACACTGATGTGTTTAGTATCCCAGAATATGTTGTGATATCAGTGGATAGAATAAAAGGTTAAATGAATATGGTTAACATTTCTTCTTTAGATGACACCTTATCAAAAATCAAATCCAGTAAAAGCAAATCTCAAAATGCATATGGTATACACACTGTACAGTAGACTTTTTGTTGGTGCACTACTACCAAATTAAAACCAATGTCATGGCTTGACATTGTAGCTTTGCATTGCTTGACAATCAGTGGTGCAATTTCTCAATAAATTTTGTGTCCTCTACTGTATGTACTGTATTTCACCAAAAGTTGTCTTTAAAAACGTTTTTTGTATTATTTTTGGGGTGGGTGGGGTGGGGGGGGGTGAGGGTGTCTTAGGAGTGTATACAGTATCAGCTGCTCAAGTGGGAGTCTATAGGAAAATGTGATCCAATATACAGTATAGTGTACAGTACCAAAAACCAAAAAACAATATACAGTAAAAAAAAAATAATTAAATCATAAATCAGAACTGCCTGTATGCTGATGATGGTTTAGCTGTGGCATTAAAATTACTGTATTGGTCTGCTGTATACCTTTGATTTACCCCCATGAAGTAGGCATAGCTCTATGGTGTAAGTTAAGAGGCATTTGGCAAATGAACTGTAACAAGAACATGTTGCAATAGTTGTTTATTTATCTGTATTTTATAGTACAGTACTGTATGCTATTTTACATTTAGCATTATTGTAAAACATAGATAGTTTGTATTACTGTACTGTAAAAAAATGTTAGTCTTGTTTTTTATCAAGCCTCACGTACAGTATGTGTGCCTGTTTCACTCCTATCTACTGTATCTATCAACTTTGGGACTTAAGGTTTTAAGCCCCTGAGCTTCTGCATTTAAAGAGATGATGTATCACATTATTTTGGATGACAACAGCTAGACTCAAATGTTCCATGACAATTATCATTTTTGTAATTTTATTTTTATTTAATTTTTTACATTTTCTAATATCAGTACAGTATATGATATATAATGAAGATTTGTTAGAAATTACTCACATTCTAATGAGTTAGCTGAAACTTCTTCTCGCATTTTTTTTTTTTTTTAACAGGGATTAGTCCACTCGGGCACAGGTCACTGACCCACATCGGGACCTGGGGGGCGAAAATATAATAATAATAATACCTGTAATAATAATAATAATAATTCGTAGTAAATAAAATTTATAATAAATACAAAATTGAAAATAAAATAATATTATTAATAATAATAATAATAATAATAATAATAATAATAATAATAATAATAATAATAATAATAATAATAAAGAACCATAAAGACATACAAAAATGAAAAAAAAGATGAAAAGTGAAAAACGGTATATGTATGTTGTGTTGTCAATGGTAAGAGAAACAATTGAGACCCTGAAATTGTGTGCAAATGAGGCAGAAAGTCAGATCAGCAACCTGGGACTTGGTCACAATTTTTTTTATGCCATATGGCAGCAGGGTCTACCATTAGACAATACATTATGCTTCCAATATCTTCCCAGGTGGTAGTACCTCCCTGTTTGGTAGCTGCCTACTACCTAGTACATTACTCTAAAAGCAAACTTATTTTAGTCTATTTGGGTAAAAAAGCAGCTTTTAATATGTGCAATACCCTTTCAGCGTTTGCAGCTACGACAACAAGAGACGAGAAAACGGCTCTTACAACATCAGCAGCAACAGGTGTTAGTGCCGTCCAACACCTCAGATGTAGCTCAGCCTCAGCCAACTTCATACCAAAACATAGATGACCTCTTTAATAACACCGTTGCGCCAAATGTGAATGTCACTCTCCAGGTAGTCTAGCAAGGGCCTCTTTCCCCTTTAATCAACAGCCTTGATTTTAAGGGGAATTATTTTAAAATGGGATTGTTTTACAAGGATAAAGTGGGCTTTTGGTTGGTAAAACTGGATGGAGGCTTAAGTAGTTATCATTTATAGACATATGTATCAATGACTGGAAAGTAATATTGTTGATTTGTTATGAAATAAAGTAATGTACAATTTTTTCTCAAAGAGGCTTGTACATATATTTATGAGTACTGTATGTAACTAATGCCAGTGATCTTTATTCACTCTAATTGCAGCGTAATGTAGCAGAGTCTCAAACATCTCCAAGCTACAGTCTGCTCAACTCACCATTAGGGGCTGGGGGACAGATTTCTCCTGGCCAGCGTATTCCCCAACCCCCATTCTCTCCGCATGGTCAGACGACCTCTCCCCTCCCTAATCAGCAGTACAGCAATAGGTACAAGATCAGGCAAAACTTTCTTATTTTTGGATCTTTTACTAATATGGTTTTTACAATGGTTTGAAACTTGGGTGAGTAAAAAGATTTACAAACCGTAAAATTGTTTGGACAGTCAATGGAACATAAAGGGAAATTGACTGTTTACTGAAAGAAAATTTCATTACTTTTTATGGAAGTAGATTGGAAATTACCAAAGACTTGCATCAGAGTCTGCCATATCTTATTACACCCTCACAGATTAGATTGAGATATAGTTTGGATTCATGAAAACTAGAATTTCTATTTACCAATTACAATACCATGACACTTCACTTCTACCTTATGATTAAGAGGAGAAAAGACTTGTTTAAATTTAAATTTTAAAGGTTCAGAATTCACAATCATTAATTCTAAAACTATAAAGTTGGTTTCTGTGCAATATCTTTATTTCTTTTCACTTCAGTGTAACCAAATGATATATTAATGGCCCTTCCCAGTCAGTCACCCCTCGTTAATTCAACAAAAAGGGGACTCTGGGTCACTTGAACTACCGAATTAAGAGAGTTCAGAATGTTTTGACATTATTTGACAATTTCCAAATTTTTGTGTTGGATTATACGTGTCATCTGTTCAGTTTTTGCACCTTATTTGGATCTTTCCAAAGACTGTTTCTCATTATTCCAACCAACAAACATACTCAGTTACTATGCCCTGACTGCCACAAAATATTTGATTTATAATTGCTGTGCAAACAAATATTTTTTTGAATGTACAGTAGCTAAAACAACTATCTGTGCAGGTGTGGGTCAATATGTTCCAAAATTTTACATGTGATTAATGACAGCCCTCATATACCAAAATTTATCGTCCATGGTCTCATATTGTTTTCCACGAAGTATGCACAGATAGTTGTTTTAGCTACTGTACATATAGTAATAAATAAATTTAACACCTATTTCCATTCTGGCTAATATTTATTTCTTCCTGCTTCTCTTTTCCACTTATTTTTATCACTTGACTTTTGTTCATATTTATTATCAACTCCTAATACAAATTTTCTAGACTCACTCAAGAAGATTTTTTGTTTTTCTTCGGAATTGTTTACAAAAGCAGCGCCATCAGTCTACAACAGCTGACTGAACTCTCATTTACATCCTGTATCATTTTTCACTAATGTACAGTTCTCTCCATCACTTTAGGTTTTATCCCACCTACTACCCCTTCCAAGTACAGCAATATCCTGGTTATTGCAAAGGTTGCATTGCTAAAAGTCATTGTGAATAACGAATTTGCAAATATTGGTGCAATTTCCCTCATAAGAATTAATGTAAATAAATCGGGGATGCATTCCCAGCCAGCAACTTTCACCACATATTTACGATATACAGGTACACTCAATATAATGCAATAAAATAACTACAATACCATAAAAACAATACAAAAGAATGATGTCCACTTTAAAGTCCAAGGTCACAGACACACGAGGCCTCTTTGCAGATGGGGCTGAGAAGCGGAAGGGCACTTAATAGGCATTATGAATAATTCTTGCAGCATAGTGTGCTACCACACAATCCAACAGATCAAAACAAACACTCGCGTGGCCCGATGTTTGAAAAAACGACAAAAATAAGTCACTATGCAGCATGCTCATGCAGCTTGAGCCACCACATACTACTTCTTACAGCTGAATACGAGAGCTACAGGCCAGCAGCTAGCCTTGGTGGTTTAAAATATTACTTTGCGAGTAAGCAAGGTATGCTTTGCAAATATTGAATAGAAGTGTAAAAATATTAATTGTGAATAAAGAGGGTTGCAAATAGCGAGGCATTCCTATAGATAGATACTGAACATCCATGGTGACGTTATAAATCCTTGATATAGTTCTACTTTTCCTTGGAATCTGTTTTTTGCTTTCCAAAAAAGTTTGAATGTCATTCACCAAGATAAGTCCTCTTTGGAAAAAAAATGGTTGCTGTAAACATGATTTTTAAAAACAATAATTTAATTTAGGAATTTAAGTTCATAGCTCATATAATTCTCTGTTGTTTGATCTTTGTGTTTGTATAAACAACAGTGGACAGATGGGTGGGTACCAGGGACCACAAGGATCACAACTGTCTCCCAGACTATCCCAAGGGTCTCCAGTTCCACCAAGTTATCAACCTGGAGGTCAGCCACTACCCCAGATGTCCCCCACTGGTCCTGGTACACCAGGCACACCTGGGGTACAAGTTCCCCCCGGCCAACAAAGTCCAGCTTGGTCGACTCCCAGTCCTCAACAGAGACCATCTCTAATGACCCAAAACCCGATGCTGAATGCACAACTTAATGTAAGTTGGGCTCACTGTTTATAAGATAGTTATTTGTACTTGTAGTTTCTCTAGAAAATATATGCCCAAGTAATATTATCACAGAATGGTAAATGGGAAGCATTAAATCAAGAAATTTATGGTTTTTATTATCGGTTTTCCCCATGTGAAGTTTCCTACAAAAATGAGAACAGACTAAAGTTAACTCTACTATCTGCCAGAGTTGGGACCAGAAGATTAGTGAATAGTGATTTTTGGTAGATACATGACATTGAGGCAGGTAGACAAGACCTTTGAAATACTGTACTGTATAAACTTACTTAATCTCATGTATGCAATATTACTGCATAAAAGTTACCAAGCATTTAAGTTTCAGTGGATGAAAACTTTAGTAAATAGAGTAAACAAATTAAAGTTACATTTATTCTGTATTTGCATATGTACTGCATAGTATTTACAGTAGACGATCATTTTACCATGTTTGAGGGGCGGATCACTTGTACGGTTAAGCCATAAGCATGGTTGGGGTTCCCCCCCCAAGAAAAAAAAAATTGAAATAAAGAGCTTCTAACACGACTATATATGGGGTTTGTGTATCACCACCACTATTATTTTATCACTGCTTGTTTAATACCTAACTATAATACCTTTCAGGCATATACAGGTAACTCAATAAATGTCTGTCTGTCAGGTGTGTGGAATGGTGAGGGTGACAATAGTGCATAGGGGTGAATTTCTAAAATTGATTAAATGGAATGGCCATTGGTCCAATACTGCGTACCCATGAAAAAAGAACACAGGCGAAATCCTGGGTCATTTGGACAATATTTAGAGGTAGCTCAAGTCAATTGAAGTTTTATCCTTTTGGCAAAAAATACGAATATTCATAATATGCCGGTTTATTTTAAAATTTACATATTGAGCAAGTTTATGTGTACACTGTACATATAAATGATTAATTCCTTTTTAAAATGAAACTGCAGTGAACACGCTTACATCAATGGGTGGGAGAGGTGTGGACAACCCATTCATTGTTTTCGCTTTTTGCTTGTAAGGTCCTGTTTTGATGTCCCTGGTTGTGACCGCCTCTGCTCTTCAACAACCTGCAGCAGATGTTGACGCTGGTCTTCACTCTTCGTGATCTTGCTGTTGAATGCCTGTATCAAGGCAATCCCTCTCTCTGCAGTGTCGTTGATGACTCTGAGACCACCCACAACTGCGACGCCAGTTTTGAAGTCTTCATCATCAGACCATGTGTCAGGTTCCTTGGACAAAAAAGAAGTCTTCATTTTGAGACTTTCAAATAGAAAGTTTGATCCTCTAGAAGCAAAGTCTGAGAGCTGCTTTGTGGGAAGGGAAGATGTGGCAGGAAGAGCAGCACGTTTTGGTGAATCCTCGGTCGCCTTCCTCTCAACGATTGCCCGAACTATGTTTGTCTTCATTGTTGCATTAACTTGTGGATCGAAGAGTGCAAGACCCACCAAGCCTTCACTGAGGTACCACAGGTGACGACCGAAGACTGTGAGACATGTTCTTGATATTTTGACGTCGTGGTACTCTGACAGGTCTTGGAGGAGCCGCAAATCATTAGCAGGAGCGGAGGATGGAACGGAGGCCGTGAACCATGCACTGACATACACCTCTAGCACAAAGAATGTGAATCGTTTCAAGCCTAATGTCTCACGAGCAGTTAGTTTAAACTGATTAGCAAAAATCAGGATCTTCATGACATAAATGAGCTTAGCCATCCACCGTGCTCGGTGAAGTGCTCCGGGCCGTCGGAGATTAAACTTGGGTAGAGCTCCATCGAGACACCTGATTGCTAGCTCCAGTACCTCACGGTAATCATCACGTGGCTGCTGCTTCTTGCCCAGATGATGTTTCCAGCAACAGATGAGGTCATCTCGTTTCTCGTACAAACTTGGAGGGAGGTCTTGACTGATGTCCTTCCACTTATGCTTGAAGCGAGAGAAGAGAGTATTATCTGGTCCAGAGGAAGGCCCCATGCATTCCACATACGCTTTCTCGGCAACAAGCTCAAGGATGTGGTGACGACACGCGAGATGCAGAAGACGGCGGCCGAGTTTCTGCTCCAGAATGACACATGCCCCCGACAAGTGCCCAGTGTTTGAAGCTGTTGTGTCAAAACTGAGTGCTGAAACATTCTCTGATATTTTCCACTCTTCCAGCGCTGCACTGACTGCTGTAGCAATGGCCTGTCCAGTCCCTGACAATAGTTTCGGGACACCAAGCAGCTTTTCAGTATTGATTCCGGAGACAAGAATGGCGATTCGGTCAACACTCGCTCCTTGTTCATCAGGAATAATTTTTCCATCCCAGTGCACAGTGAGCACTTCACTAGGTTGAAATTTTTCTTTAATTTCGTTGGCAATCCCAGAACGGTGGGTCGCTCGCGAAGTACGCACTGTCTCATAGTTTAAAACTAGTTCCATTGGGTCATGACCTAGACTAGCAGCCGTGGCACTGACGATCCGGAGAGCAGAGCGGTGACTGATCCCAGTGCGGTCCAATGTACTTGACAATTCAGGGGTGATAACTTTGAGAGTAGCACGTTTACGATTGGAAGAAGATACCACTGGTGATATCGCTAGGGAACTTGTAGATGATGACGAGCTTGATTGTGATTCTGTTTCAGACGAAGAACCCAACTCATCATATTCAAGAGCAGAACTGGCTTGATTCTGTTGTAGAGATTGCTTACTCTTGCTTTCTTCCCGACGCTTGATGGAACAAGCAATCTTTTTGTCTACTCCTGCCATTACACCTCTTCTCCCTTTTTCTCGTTGCGCTGCCAGGAATGCTCGGTCTTCTTTGATGGTCAAGAGCTGCATTGCCTTGGGGTGGGCAACATCGAAGAGGTCCTCTAACTCATCACAAAAAGTTTCCTCTTTCTTACGTTGTGTGTCTGTAGTGCGAGTGCAGTTTTTCTTAAGTCCCTTCCACATTAAAAAAAGATCCACTACCTTTCGTCCAATACTCTTCTCAGTTATGGTAGGAATCCGTGCTTTATTCCAGAAACTAATAACCGATGCTGCAACTTCACTCGCAGAATCATTCACTGTTTTCTTATGTTCATTGTGACCGTGGAAAAACAGACGTAGAACATCTCCTCTTGAAGGAAGTTGTGCACCCGTGATTTCGGTTATGTGTTGACCAATGAGCCAAACTTCAGTTTTTGAACGTGTACTCTCCATTGAACCTGAAACAAACAAAAACATTTATGTAACTTATGTTGTTACTGTTATGCAAACAACAGCACCCATAAAGCATACGGCATGCAAGATCACTTGTATAAAGTTTTTAAAGTGTTATATACCTAAATTGATGCATTGATTTTAGACAAAGACAATGGTACTAACCGTAATACTGCAACAAGAGCGACGCACACACACCCACCGTCACGTCTCACACACAACTGATGCTACTGTACCAGTCAGACACTGGCACACAACCTCTTCCCCCTACCCCGACTGACACCCGCCTCTCCCTCCCCTCTGCATTGCCAATAGCTGCACCAGCCAAAATACTCATTACTCATTTTTAGAAAAAATGTTAGGAACAACTTTAGTTTGAATTTGCATTCTACATATACCTGCAAAGTTTCATAGTAATCGGTTCATAAATAAAGAAATTAGAAAAAATCAATAATAATTTCAGTAGTGTTAACTTCAAATGGCTTGAGCCACCTCTAAATATTGTCCAAATGACCCAGGATTTCGCCTGTGTTCTTTTTTCATGGGTACGCAGTATTGGACAAATGGCCATCTAAAAATAAAAACTTTCACTTTTTATTGTCACCCTATGGTGACGTTAATGTCTTGGTTGGCTAAATTCATGAGCTGTGTGGCTGGGTCGCGTGTGCCCAATTACCTTGCTTACAAATATTTATGTCACTTGATGCACTTAGAATTTTGGTATTTATAATAAATACAAGCATATATTTTTTTCATGCTTGTATGTTTTAAAATGCCAAAATTCAGTAGCTCCATCAAATACTGTACCATAAATATTTTTATATAAGCAAAATAAATTTCTCCAATCACAGTCTGTGTGGCTGCCCAGCCTCCCACTGCAAAGTTGCCATATATTTTATTTACTATAACATACAGTATATTTACCAAATAACTCAATAAAATAATACAATTAAATATTGAAAACTTAAAAGATGATAAAAATGATATGTGTGACTAATATTAATTTGCCATGCCAATCTATATAAAGCACTCTATTGCCATATATTAAAGTGTGTGTGGTTGTGAATTGAATAGCTGACTCACCCTCCATGTGGTTGTGAATGTGATAGCGGTGCATGGAATATATGGTGGTCAAACTCACAAACTCAAGGTCGCATCTAGGAATTATTGTAAATATGCATTTTTACTTAAATTTTCATACAGTATAGTCTGGATTACGCTGTCAATTGAACCCGTGGAGGTTCGCGTAAAACGAGAAACGCTTTAATGAAATAACAGAACACATGGGACTAATAGAAATAGAGACTGGGCCGACCCCCAAACTCCACTTTTTGCCGACACAATACGTATGTTGTAGTAAAAATAGTATCTTAACTTTATGATGGTATGCGCACACACATAATATCTAAATAAAAAACTACACTACTGTACAAATAAAGGTGTTTAACACTTACGTTAGTAGAAGAGATGGGTTGGCATACGTGGATGGCGGCTGGTTCTCTGGCAGTGAGCAGATTAGTGGTCCTCAGGTGAATTACTTTCACTATCCACCACAGTTGTCAGGGCCTCCCTGACAAATCCCTCAAAGTCAACATCACTGTCACTATCACTGACTTGGGCTGGCTGTGGTGGGTTGCGGGCGAAGAAATTCGTGATGTTACTCTGACGGCTAGTGTTGACGTATTCGTGATACATCGTGATGTACTGCTCCTTACCTTGCTGTAGATGGTTATTGAAGACTTCATACCGTTGATTGTCAGGGTCGTTGGAAAGGATGAGCTTCAGTTTCTCTGCAAACTCTATGGCATCCTTAACGTTACCATGTGTTAACTTGTGTTCTTCTCGGGCTGATGCACCACCTGTATCTTCACTGACGTCATCGTCTTCCAACATCTCGTCGACAGTCACCTCAGGATCCCTGATCACCTCCATAATGTCTTCGTTGGTGGTCTCGGAGAAGCCTGCAGCTGTACCACTCTGTGCAGCTTCTCTTGCAAGGTCCACTGCCACTGCAACAGACTGAACCTCACCAGTCACAGGTTGACTCTGCCTCCCACCTGGGATACCTTGCAACACATGCCACCACGCATGACGAATCGTTGCCACAGACAGCTACTCCCATGCCTCCACCAAGAAATCAACAGCTTTTTTGACGTTGAATTTCTTCCAAAACTGTTTGACGCGAACTTCTTGCTCCGCCAACTCTTCTTCATCGTCCTCGTCGCTCTCGCTATCGGTGTCAACCAGGTTACGCAACTCATCCTTGGTGTTGGTACAGTCGTTCAGGAGCTTAAACTTCTTTGCAGAGAATGCAGCCTTAACGTTGCTTATCAACTCCTGGTCCATGGGCTGGATTAACAACGTAGTGTTTGGAGGAAGGAAGACCACTTTTATACTGGGGTGACGATCCAACAGTAGGGGCGAGTGTCCTGGTGTGTTGTCAAGGAGCAACAAAACGTTAAATGGAACATTATGTTGCTCGCAGAATTTCTTAACGTCGGGAACGAAACAGTCGTCAAACCAGTGAACATCCACGCCTTACATGAGGTTAGCCAGTGGACATTTAGCTTGGTCATGTCCATGTTCTTGTAGGCGTGTGGCTTGCGGGCTGTGTGGATCACCGACAACTTGAGCTTACAGGTACCGGAGGCATTGGTGGTAAACAGAACGGTGTTGTGCTCTTTCTGCAATTTCCGGCCCCGACACTTGCTGGCAGACTTGACAACGAAGGTCTTGGTAGGTAGCTTTTTCCAAAACAGACCAGAATCATCCATGTTGAACACCTGGTCGTCGGTGTACTGTCCTTCTTCCATAACTTTTCGTAAGAATGGAGGAAAATCACTCGCTGCAACACGGTCAGCACTGGCTCCTTCACCAACAATGTTAATGTTGGTGATCTTGTTCCTCTTCTTAAACCCTTGCAGCCACCCAGAGGAAGCAGTGAAGGGTCTGGGCTCTGCAATTTCCATCTTGCGTGCTACTGCCACGTACAGTTCACGTGCGTACTCTTGAACTGATCGTGTATCCACCGCCATGTTCTGTCTTGCCTGACTAATCAAGTAGCTCATCAGCAAATTCTCACTCTTGAGCAGCACCTTATTCTGACAGTACTTCACCATTGAAGCACCTGCAGACTTTGTGATGCTCATGTGTTCTTTTATCTTGGCGGCATCCTTCTTGATCGTCCAGATCGTAGATTCGTTCACGCCATGCTGGCTCGCCAGATCAACTTGCCTCGTACCTTTTTCCAACTCCTGCACGATCTTGTACTTAACTTCATAGCTTAAAGTTCGTCGTATCTTCTTAGGCTTGGGGCGGCTTGGGCCAGGCAGTTCAAGGTTTTTCTGTGGTGGTGGGGGTCCAGCGGAAGCCATTGTTGCGAGATTAGCGGGCACACGAGACAATTGTATACGCGGTGACTGAGAACAATGCGACTGGCGCGGGGTAGGTCAGCGGCTTCTTCCCTCCCGTGACAGGGCACGTCATATTACATTAAACCAATCACAGCTAGCGGGGGAGGGAGGTAAGAATGCGTGGCCCAATCACAGTCCGATACGTCATATGACGTCAACGATAACGCAACAGCGACCTAATGCGCACCCCCTCACTGCGCCGCTTCCCGCGTATGGTCGAGAATGAACCGCTTGAATGGCGTGGAGCATCTGGACCTCCAGCCGCTCTCCGCGTAAATGACCAAATTTACCGCGTAATTAAAGCATTTCAATTCTGGCAAGGCACCGCGTAAATCACCAAACGCGTTAACCAAAACTGCGTAAATCCAGACTATACTGCACATTTTTCACATTGGTTCAACATGTTTTGTTTAGGGGTGTTAGTGGTACAATGGTAATGTGCATAACTCACACCAATATATTAAGGGTTTGAGCCTTGGTCTGGACACACATGAGAAGGGTGTTATCCAGTGTGAACCTACTAAGCATCACAGGTTTCCCAGTTCCGAAAAGTTGAGTATTATTATTGGAATATATTATGAAATAGATTATGTTGAATGAATTATATGAATATTACATAAATTATAATAAGATACTGTACAAAGCTATGTTTGGGTGAATAGCCCAGGAGAGGAGGTGGCGGGTGGAATTTGGATAAAAGGAAATATGCTGTATGTCGAATAAATTCTACGACATTTGGATTTACCATAAAAATGGCCTGACATGAATTGGGGAGGTGTTGAGTATTACTGGGTCAGTACCGCAGGAACCAAGTTTTACCAGGGAGTGCTAAATATTAATTCGTGACGCTAAACTGGTTCCAATTAGTGGCAAAGCTCAAGATTCTACTGTATACAATAGTACACTACCAAATAAAAGTGAGTATCCTAGATCTGTATTCAACAGTGGATAGTGAAACACTGTGTGCGGTCGTTACCGTCGCTTCCACCCCTCACTCGCTAATTCCCAATGTGCACAGTGGTGGGAAATTTGAAAATTAATAATTATTTTCCAATTGCAGTTAAGGTGTGTTTGATACGGTTAAATAGTAGTATTGGTTTCAATTAATAAAGCACAGTGAAGCCCTAGCTCGGATAAATAATAATCGGTGGTAAAATGATCGTTTACTGTAATTGTTTAAAATTTTTGAAGAATTTTGGATTTCAGATTAAAATTTCTGTACATCCTTCTTAATTTTCAAGTATCTCAGGAATTCACCATGCAATCAGGTCATTATGGTTAACTCACACAATTATGTAAAATGGCTGTAAGATGGTAATGTTGATGATAAGACAATTTAACAATACAAAAGCAAGAATAAAATGTTAGGTTTTTACAATTTTTGGGCATCTGGCTCTGAAGTCATACAATGTATTGAGAGGCTAACAAACAGTTAGGTTAAGCTATGATATATAGTGATCTGTGACCTACAGCCCAGCTGCACAGATATGGTTTCACCACCTGCCCAAGCCTTCTGTTCCATAATGACCTGACATGAATTACCTTACCATGTGTATGTGACCTTGGAAGTCCTGTCCTGTCCTGTCCTGTCCTGTCCTGTCCTGTCCTGTCCTGTCCTGTCCTGTCCTGTCCTGTCCTGTACTGTACTGTACTGTGGTTTAGATTAACCAGGTTGACTGTGAGTGTGATGCTTTTGACACTTCCCTGTTGAAATACCGATAATTATAGGGTCATGCTGAATTTGCATGCATGGGTGTGCAGGCTTCTTTTTTCAGCTGTGAGACTTGATAGAACATCCCACAGCAAAGTTTCCATGCTTCTAAGGATCAAAGCCGTATATTGGGGACTTGGAATCCAGAGTCCAAAATGCACTACCCTGTACATGTACAGTATTCAGAATATGCTACAGCAGATATAGATTATATTATTAACCGTATTGTAGATAAAGTTATTGATATATACAGTATTTATAAAATTATTTTAAAATAAGAAAATAACTCTTTACTTTCACAGGGTCATATCTTAACATACAGGTATTTCATTTCTGATTGGTTAATTGTTCTGCCAAAGATATGCACTATATAGATGGTCTTACAATATCAGTTGACATGCATTGTACTTCATACCTGACAAAAATGTATGTTTGGCTACCAAATGTAGAGTTATGTTCCAAGTTCATTACTTAACATTTTAGCAGATACCGTACTTATCAGTTACTCCAAGTTTCTTAGGTCCTTGACAGTTGTGGGTGTTAGGTTGACAGATAGTTGAGAGTGGCCAGTGTTTGTTTTCATGAGCTGTTAATAGAAAGAAAACTAATTTTTCAATCAACTAAACAAATTTAAAATTAATCATGTTCAAATTTCTCAGTTGACAAACTTACTTTCAGTGCAATTTAGGTAGCAACAGATGAATGTAATAATAAATGTATGCAACTACTAATTTTATTGCTTTCAGACCTTTATGAGAAATGAGAGTGTTCGACAGTTTCCGGGTGGTGGGCGTGCAGGTCAGTTACCCTCCATGCGTTCTGTGCCCAGCCCTAGTGCCCGTCAGTCACCTTATCAAGGTATGGGTCCTCATACACCTGGAGCCACAGGACAAGGGGACCCAGGTGCCTATCCTCCTTCCTCTCCACAGCAAGGACAACCACCCTTAATTTATCAACAGCAGCAACAACAACAACAACAGCAGCAACAACAACAACAACAACAACAACAACAACAACAACAGTATCGTATTCTACGGCCTATATCAGCTCCAGGGCAGATAGCAGGTAAGACCCTGAATGACATTACTGCTCACTTATGTATTCAGGCATCTTGTGGATGCAAAGTAAATGTTTCTGCATTGGTAGATATATGGAACTGAAGAAGTATACTGTACTCTTCTTGTACTTTCGGGATTCAAGGTTTATGATCCTACTTTCTAACAGTGCAGTACCATTGTAGTAGTATTTTTGCATTTTCACACAGTTACTCATACATACACCCTCTTCATTAATTACTTTTGAAATTTTAATTGCAGCTTATGTATACTTTTATAAATGAGAAGTAAACATCTTTCTTTTAAAATTCATGATTTTCCTGCAGTAGTTAGTTAACATTGGTTTGGTTTGCTGTATTGTAGTTTGGTTGTGGGACACTGGTATACATTCCTCTCCATGGCATGGGGAAATCCTCACAAACCTCACCACCCTTCCACTCATCCCAATTTCTCAGTTACACCTCCTTTTTCTCCCCTTGGGTCATTTTGACCAATCTTCTCTGTCTTACTTTATAAAGCATCTTTTAATGAGAATTTTGTAACAAGTTCATCAATTGCTACCCATGTGTAACAATTAATTGAAAACATCATTTTCATTTTAATAAATAATATTGAAAAGCTGAATCAGTGAAGTAAGTCTAATTAAACAGAACAAGATTTGTTATTTACACGACTTTGTCATCTTAGGATGATGACATTGTATTTTCAATTTGAAAAGCATGCTGTAGAAAATCTACTATGAATAATTTTTTTGAAAGATGAAGATAAACTTTAATCAAAGGACAAAATGAATAAAACCAACATAAGGATATTGATAGCATTAGTTGTGTGGATTTATGAATGGAAACCAAAGCTATATTTCATGGGTGGAACCTCCAATAGGTTATTTATTGTGGGGCCTTGACATGAAAGTAACAAACCAGTCACTGATGGAAAATTTTCTTCAAATTTGGTATGCTTAATTAAATTTTACTTCTTCAATCAGAAAATTTAAGCACTGTTTGTGCCACTTGAACTCAAAATGAGTTTCATTGGGAAAACGTCATATTGACATTTGTATATCATAAAAAATCCTGTCATATATGAAAAAACAACAACTTATGGCTACCGATACAGTGTTCATTATAAATTTGTTTGCATTTCCTGTGATGGAGCTGCTGTTAGAAAAATTTGGCCCTTTATAATTGTCTGTATATATATATATATATATATATATATATATATATATATATATATATATATATATATATATATATATATATATATATATATATATATATATATATATATATATATATACATACATTGACAATCCTTATCGAAATCCTTGGGGCCAGGGCATTTGATTTCTGAATTTTCAGTTTTCAGAATGGCTAGGGTTTTTTTTTTTTTTTTTTTTTAATATATAAATGTATTAGCTCACCCGGGCATAGATCACTGACCCACATCAGGGCCTGGGGGGCGAAAATATAATAAAAATTATAATAATAATAATAATAATTCATAGGTCTAGGTCGTGTTTCTCACTTTTGATCTTTTTTCATTCTTGTACAGTTAACCCTCACTTTACGCGGTTAATTCAACCCACGGCGGCCCGCGTAAAGTGAACAACATAACATACGTTTTACTAAAAATAACATCTTAACTTTATGATGGTATTCACCCACACATAATATAGAAGGGAACAGTCAATAAACTGAAGGTTAGGTTAGAAAAAAACAAGGTTGGGGTTAACACTTACGTTAGTAGAAGAGATGGGTCGGCGTAGGGGAATGGAGGCTGGTTCCGAGGCAGAGGGCAGGCTACTGGCCCTCAGGTGAGTCTTCATCGGTGTCATCCACACTTACTAGTGCCTCCCTGACAAATCCCTCAAAGTCATCATCACTGTCTCTGCCTCTGTCACTATCACTGGCTTGGGCTGGCTGTGGTGGGTTGCGGGCGAAGAACTCTGTTATGCTTTGCTGACGCCTGGTGTTTATGTTGTTGTGATAAACCTTGATGTAGGGCTCCATAGTCTGCAACAGCTGGGTAGTGAAGATTTCATACCTGTTTGCGTGAGCGTCGTCGGAAAGGAGCTTGACTTTCTCAATACACTCGATGGCACCCCTAACATTACTATGGGAAAAGCGGCGTTCTTCTTGGGATGACGCACCACCTGCCTCTTCACTGACATCATCATCATCTACCATCTCGTCGGTAGTCACATCAGGATCCCTTATCACCTCCAGGATGTCGTCGTTGGTGGTCTCGGAGAAGCCTGCAGCTATAACACTGCGCAGCTTCTCTGGCATGGTCCACTGCTACTGCAACAATCTGAACCTCACCAGTCACAGATTTACTCTGCCTAACACCCGGAATGCCTTGCAACACATGTCTCCATGCGTGACGAACAGTTGCTACAGACAGCTGATCCCATGCCTCCACCAAGAAGTCCACAGCTTTCTTGACGTTGAATGTTCTCCAGAATTGTTTGAAAAGTACTTCTTGCTCTGCCAACTGTTGATCCTCGTCGTCTTCGCTCTTGCTATCGGTGTTGGTGTCACTCAAGTTACGCAACTCTTCCTTGGTGTTGGTGTAGTAGTTTAGTAGGTTGAATTTTTTTAGCAGAGAATGCAGCTTTTACATTACAGATCAATTCTTGGTCCATGGGTTGTATTATAGACATAGTGTTGGGAGGAAGGAAGACCACTTTTATGTTGGGGTGATGATCTAACCGTAGGGGCGAGTGTCCTGGTGCGTTGTCCAGCAGCAACAAAATCTTGAATGGCACATTCTGTTGCTCACATAATTTCTTCACATCGGGAACGAAACAGTCATCAAACCAGGAGAGGGACAGTGTAGAAAACATCCACGCCTTACGTGCGGTCAGCCAGTGGACATTTAGCTTGGTCATATCCATGCTCTTGTAGGCGTGCGGCTTGCGTGCTGTGTGGATCACCGATAACTTGAGCTTACAGGTACCGGAGGCATTGGTGGTAAACAGGACGGTAATGCGCTCCTTCTGCAACTTCCGCCCCCGACACTTGCTGGCATTCTTCGCAACGAAGGTCTTGGAAGGTAGCTTTTTCCAAAAAAGACCAGATTCGTCCATGTTAAACACCTGGTCGTCGGTGTACTGTCCTTCCTCCATAATCTCACGTAAAAACGGAAGAAATTTCCTAGCCGCAACACTGTCAGCACTAGCTTCTTCACCACCAATGTTGATATTGGTGATCTTGTTTCTCTTCTTAAACCTCTGTAACCACCCAGAGGAAGCATTAAAGGGTTTGGGCTCTGTAATTCCCATCTTTCGTGACACTGCAGCATACAGTAAAAGTGCGTACAGTGAGTTCTGCTATAACGCGTGTTTTGATAACGCGAATTTGCTCTAACGCAATTTATGAATTCGGAACAATATTTGTATAACGCGAACGCTTGTTTGCTATAACGCGATTTTTGCTTCCTATTTCTCCAATTTTGTGGTATTAACTGTCAATATGGTAAAGAAGAATATCTCCAAAAAGCGTTCTGATGATAGAATTCCCGGTGATTATCGTAAAAGAAAGGATATAACACTTGAAGAGAAGCTTGATGTTATCAACCTCAAAATCACCCTTCTCCCCCATCAAGTTACATTCATATTTTTTCAAGGTAAAGTGTTACATTTACTGTATGATTTCAGTATTAGATATGAATGTAACATTTATTTAGACTGTGCTATCCTTTGTGTTAGGCTAACTACTAAATTTTTTCGATTTCGAGTAATCTGCACCTAACCCTATTTTCTCCATAAGCCCTGTTATTTCTATTACGCGATTTTCCATAACACGATATTTTACAAGAACACAATTATCGCGTTATAGCAGAACTACCTGTACTCCTTAACTGAGCGCGTGTCCACCACCATGTTCCGTCGCGCCTGGCGCACAAAGTAGCTCACAAGTAATTTTTCCGTCTTGAGAAGCACCTGGTTGTGGAAATATTTGATCATAGAAGCAGTTGTAGACTTTGTGATGTTCATGTGCTCTTTTATCTTGGCTGCATCCTTCTTAATTGTCCCGATAGTTGATTCGTTAACACCATGCTGGCGCGCGAGATCAACCTGTCTTGTTCCTTTCTCCAACTCTTGTATGATCTTATATTTGATTTCGTAGCTTAAGGAACGTCGTGTCTTCTTTGGCTTAGGGCGGCTGGGTCCAGGTAATGCAAGGTTTCTTTGTGGTGGTGGTGGTGGTCTGGTGGAAGCCATTCTTATGATACACGGTGTAGCCTGGAGGGGTGTAACTGACGCGGTAGGTCAAGGGGCTTGAACGCTCCCGCGGCGGGGCACGTCATAGTACTACATTAAACCAATCACAGCTAGCAGGGAGGGAAGTAAGGATGCTTTGCCCAATCACAATCCGCTACGTCATATGACATCACCGATAACGCAACAAAGACATACACTGTGCAACCTACTCGCGCCGCTTACACAATATGGCGGGAGAGGGCGGGAGAGATGGCGGGAGGTTTGGATCCGAAAATGGTGCGGCACGAGAGGACCGCCAGCCGCTCTCCGCGTAAAGGTGGTACACGCACCGCGGAAAGTGAGCATTCCGGTTTCGGCAGGGTACCGCGTAAACGTGGAAACGCGTAAAGTGGGACCGCATAAAGCGAGGGTTGACTGTATTTCTTTATTATTATTATTATTATTTTATTATTACAGTATTATTGTTATTATTATTAATTTTATTATTATTATTATTGTTATCATTATTATTTTATTTTGGTGTATTTTTATTAAAAATTTTATTTACTATGAATATTTGTTATTATAATAATTATTATTACTTTTACTTTTTCGCCCCCCAGGCCCTGATGTGGGTCAGTGATATATGCCCGGGTAGGCTAATCCCTGTTTAAAAAAAAAAAAAAATGGCCCCACAAAAAAAACTTAAGGTTTTCAGAGCTTTTCGGTTTTCGGAATTTCGGATAAAGGGTTGTGAACCTGTGTATGTTTATATATATATATATATATATATATATATATAT